GTTAGTTAGTCGATGAAATACTATTTAAATAGGTATTGAAAGTATAACAACAACAACTCCCGACTTCTATTGCAAAACAGTAGTGCAAACACTGTCAACACATGGACGACTATGATCGTTTTTCCCTGGCACGGAAAGACAATGATCGACATTCCCTTGTTTTAGGTGACTATGATCGTTTTTCCATTGTATAGCTAGAATTCGAAAATGATTTACTCTGACTACGATCACTTTTCTCTGGTTTTTGAACTGCTGCGTGATAGCCCAATGCAAGAGCATTGATGTCATGTAAATATCTCGAAAAACTTTTTAACTACTATGGTCGTTTTTCCCGTGTACCCTTCGTAACACCTGATTTTAATAAGGTAATACATTGAAAGAATTACACACAAATAAGTACAGCTGAGGTATTTTTAACATTAGGTATGTGGAAGGTTACCTTTAGAATGTAATTACGACCTTAAAGGGCAACTTTTGAAATAATGGATAGTTTTGCGCAGGGTTTCTCGTCATGTCGAACATTTTAAGTATATGGTTTATGGGGCTGTGATTTGTAGTTTTCTCAAAAGTTCATGGGTACTTTGGGATTCATATATGGATTTTGTATTGAAATCAACACCTATTGATATGCAAATACACAAATGTCAATAGACATACTAGTGACTAACAATACGCATGTCAATAGATATAATAATAGCCAACAATAAAAAAACCAGAGTAAAAATACAAATGAATCTCAAAATATTATTTAGTATTGATGCCTATTGATTAGTTGTATAACTGATTAGTTTTAGCGATACCTTTTGATAAGACCTAGCGATAAATGCAGAAGTGAATAGATACATATTTATATGCATCGAAACGAATTGCCCAAAAATACAACGGCAAGCATCTATTGAACGCCAATCTCGTAACAATATTGTTTGATTACGTTAGAGCCTATTGTTCATCCGCGCAATACAATGTTCATGCCAAATAATACAATTTGAATAATCCAATGATTATGCACTCCAACTATTCTGTTTCAAGTGGTTTATATAATCTGCAGTATAGCTACAAACTTGAAATAAGCACAATCTTTGTATTTGTTAAAACTTATATTGGAACATGAAAACATTAGTTCGATCATTTACAGCGGAGAAAAGAATTATAAAGAGTTATGAATAGAATATTTTCTTTGAAAGCTACAATTCACACTCTTGCAAGCAACACAGCAGGCTATATCTCAACTCAAGTCTCAAGATATTATATGTGTTTAGTATAGTATGCAATTATTTTTTGATTTCCACGACCAGTGGCTAGAGGCAGGCTGCCGTGTGGCGTGTCGCTGCAATGCAGTCCGTCTGGCAAGGCTGCGGTCGATATACTCCCCCCTAAATTCTCTCTTCTCCCCCTCTTTCTCACTGTCAAGCCGCTATCCGCTTTATTAATTTACTTGAGAATTACCCTTGTTTAGAGACAATGATGAGTTGTTGGTTTCATTGTCTACGGTTCACGAGTTAGTTTTTCTCAAGTGAGACCTTTGAGAATGTATAAATTATTTAAACGGTGTTTAAAATGTTAGGGTATTTGAATAAAGGTTGAATTTCCTTGTCCATATAGCATGATAGACAGGGAACCCAGAGCAGAGGCTTTATTTTCATGGCACAATTGACGTATTTTTGAGTCTTCAAAAATTACTGGTGGATGGTTGGAAAAAGGCAGATGAGTTCTTTAATTTAATTAGTTGCACAAAAATAAAGTGAGTCAGGCTTATTTGTGAGTCGGTGGCTCAGTCGGTAGCGTCGCGGACTTCGGGCCCAAGGCAGCGATGTCGTGGGTTCGGATCCTGGTCACTGCCGATAACATTTTATCAGTACAGTTCACCTTTGTACTGTACCGGCTCACTCATTGCTTTGCTGTAAACGATCCACGCACGGGCGCTTAGTCTATGTGGACGGGCAAATGCAAGGTTAAAAGAGGCCGCCAACCTCTTTAAAAAAAGTGACTCTGCTGCTTATTTAGCAGCAAACGCCTCATAATTACTAGATATCTTGCCTCCCCCCAACACACACACACACACACACACACACTTTTCTAGGGAGAGGAGGGGAAAGGCATTTACGCACACAGTTGGCCAGCCTGTAGTGTGAGACTCCTGGGAGGACCATACTACTCACTAAAAACCCCTCTACTCTGTTGGACACAGACCTGGGATTGTTTGTCACATTTCATCAAGTCAGGCCAACATGTGACCTAAGTCCTAGCACTACCACTGTTTCTGGCATTGTGTTATTTTATTACCTAGACTGCATCTCGGTCTAGGTCGAGTTTCTTGGTGCGAAGAATACTCTGGGTGAAACGTGACACACTTACAGGTCCAATTGTCCTGACCCTCCACCATCAGTGGGATGACCGTGTCCACCGACAGCAGTCCTACGTTGGATTTAGCCTCCAGGTGGGGCCTTTCCCAACGCGGGCAGCGGAAAAAGTAGTGTTTCGCGTCGTCGGGAGTGCCTGGGCAGTCGATACAATCGGTTTACACAACTTTGCCCATCCTGAATGGGTACGACCAGAAAATCCGTGGCCTGTCAGAAATTGAGTGTGATAACAATCTACCTCGCTGTGCCACTGATTTTTTAATCCGTCACCTGCCAGCGTCCCCGTGTCTCCTGTTCCCAGCTCTCCTGCCAGAGCCAGGAGGGCGCTCCTCGCTTCTTGCCTGGTCCTCTACGTGCCACTAATATATTGCCTTCCTCTCTGCCACCAAAAGTTTGACTAACTCCAGCAACCACAAGGACGGCGGGATCGGACACTGTTCGGTAGGCGGAGGGCGGATGCTACCCTGGTCCCTGAGTGCTGCCTGACGCTGCACTCGGGTGAACCACATCATGTACACTTTATTGAGTGCATCTGCCCACTCACACATATGATGATATATAAAATTAATTATGGCAATTCTTAGCTTGATTAGTTACAGAGTTTTCGACTACCGTTCACCGAGATGACTAGTGTTGGAATGATTGTCAGCTTTCGATAAAGTACTAAATAAAAACCTAAAGTAGGATTAGGAATATGCCAAGCCAAATTTCTTTCTTCCTTAATTGCTTGTAAATCACAAGAAATACAATGTTAGTTTTTAGTGCAATACTCCTTTCAACGTCAGTTGCTGAACCATAGACAAAATATATCGTTATGGAATAACAAAACATCATGAGAAAAAATATAATGGTCCTATTAAGAAAAATCCCAACTATTCCTTCTTATTCTTCCTACTGTGCTGTCTGCTCTATTTTTTTGCTGGTGTCAAAGGTCAAAGCGGAAAACAAACTTCAAACAAAATCTTTAAATCGACTGTGTGAATAACAATGACGCCGCCTAAGTTTAAGTTATTATTTGCATTATTTTTTAACCACAAAGTTAAGAAATTACACAATTTTAATCAACATCGTCGAAATAAACATCTTATCTGGTGGAATGACTCATGAGGGGGTTCCCGGTTCACGGTTTTTAAAGATTGAGTAGGTACGTGCTAGGTATTTTTGGCCTAAGTTAGGTATTAATTTATATTTTGGTAGATAGATACTACTTAATACATAGTTACATTAGAAATATAATATAGGCCTACCACAAGATTTTTCAAGTGGCTTATCAATAGGTAATCATGGAGACAGACCTAGGTCTTATAGGTAATAAACTAGTTAACTTGCTCCAATAGTTTGACAATGTCGTAAGTTAATCCAAACATTAAAAACAAGTAAGTTAGGCTAAAATAAAATCTAGAAAATCTAAGCTAACCTCATTAACCGTTTTAATGTACCCAACTACTATTCTAATAAAACTAATCTCGTAGAGTTCTGTATTAGTCTTAACAACGGACTCGTTTTAGACATTCAATCAAAGACTTTTTCTATTAACTTTAATAATGTATTCAATCAGTCTATATTTCAAATTTGAAATGCGTCAAAGTCGTATTACAAAGCTAATTAATCTTAATAGTGAGAAGGAGTTGATATGAGGGAGAGCCACTTAACAGAATGGAGTGGCCCAGTTAGGACTACCCTTGGGGGTTGCATGAACATAGAGCAATTACTAACTGTAGGCGACCTTGAGCGTCCATACACTTCTTCTGTAAAATATATTTTGTTTTAGCTTGTACTTAACATTTTAAGTTACTGTGTGTTTAAAACGTATAAGTTATAAAATCACTCAATTTTATAGTACTTTTCCATCATCTCCCCCTACCAAATTTTAATGTAGGCCACATTTGATTTGATTGAGTAAGGTTCATGACTTGGCCCTCAGGGTCCGACTACGACTCAGACATAAAACGGAATGCTATGAAGACCAAGTTTTTAGTGTTAGTGTACGTTGTTGTCTGTATGACAAAACCTGTCTCCTGACAATTGGCTATCTGCTGGAGGCTAGCCAATAACTTAGTTTAAGGCCCGGATAATTTCTACGTAGGGTAGACAAAGAGCCAGAAGAAAAGCTCCATCATACAGACTATAACTTATCCGTGACCGTAGAAGCCTAATAGTTCCTATAATCATTTTTTTTAAAGAGGTTGGTGGCCTCTTTTAACCTTGCATTTGCCCGTCCAAATAGACTACAGATCTGTTCGTGGATCGTAAACAGAAAAGCAACGGGTGAGCCGGTACAGTACAAAGGTGAACTATACTGATAAAATGTTTGCGGCAGTGACCAGGATCCGAACCCACCTCATTGCTGCCTTGTTTGCTTGGGCCCAAAGTCTGTGACGCTACCAACTGAGCGACTGACTAACCTAAATAATAGTAGGCCTGGAGATAGACATGGTGGAAGGAAAAAGCATATAGGTGCGCTATTCCCGTCATATGCTGACGTCATACAGATTGCAAACGCCATAAAAATTATAAAAACAATAACAATCAACAAACAACAAAATCTTTTTTTGAAAAATGGTCTATCATTTTTGATGTGCCATCTTAGTTATGTAGGTACTTGTTCAACAGATTTTACATTCTAAGTTTTGTTTACAGGAAGCCAAAATGTCGTGGGTGCCGACCGGTTAGCAGTAACCTCGGCCTAGCGATCTGTAAGTATTATTTTTGAATACAGTACATTTATATAAGAATATTTTTAGGATGAAACACAGGACCGTGCTTTTACCTTTCAAATAATATATCTTAACCCTAATAAGCGAGGTGTGTGGCTATCTAAAATACAGAGTTAATATTGTTAGATAAAAAATTAAACTAAGTTACTTTACCTTGTCCACTTAGGGAGAGATGAGGAAAGGCAACAACACTGAAAGTCATATCAATAGACACTGCTAGTGGTATTGAATTAATCCAACGGCAATTAACTGTTGTGATTACTGTACAAAATATCAAAAGCAACAGTGGCGTAGAAATGGTTCTTGTGCGCATATTGCTTGCCATTCTAATTGACAATCATAGGCCTACTAAGAATATATTATAAATCTGAAAGTTTGTTTGTTAGTTTGTAAGGCTATTTGTTTGGGGCGCAATAACAAATTCACTACTGGTCCGATGGGGCTGAAATTTGGCATGATGATAGCGCATGTATTCCCCATTAGGCAGCTATTCTTCTCTCAAAATCATTTTGGCCACTGGCTCTGGAGTTTCCTATGTTTACCTTTTGGTTACCGGTACTCATATTAAAAAAAAATCATAGATAAATCATAAATCATAAATCTTTATTGGTCATTAAATAACATATGTTACAATAGACCTCGTTAACAAAAAAAGGGCCATAGATTCTAGATAGTATAACATGGTCTATAACATGGAATCTTCACTAAACTTAAATATAACAAAGACAACAAGCAAATAAAGCTAAAATCATTTGAAAAACACAGAACTATATATATGAAACAAAAGTGAGGTACCTACTTAAACAAGTGTTTGAAAGACTAGGTAACAGTTGACTAGGGACTAAGTAAGAACTAGATAACAATTTTACCATTACAATTGTATTCTGCAAAAAATTCATCTAAACTGTAAAAAGGGTGGTCAGCAAGCCAAACCATCAACTTTTGTTTTAGCCGAGTACAAGGAATGTCAAGTATTTCACTTGCAAAACAATTTACTATTTTTACTGATATACTAGCAAAACTTTGCTGTACTGTTGTTAGTCTGGTGTAGGGCCTATCCAAAGCAGATCTTCCCCTTGTGTAATATGAGTGAAAATTATTTCTTGAGCTAAAGAAATGTGAATTTTGTTTTACAAAAATAACACACTCTAATATATACAAATTTACAGTTGTCAGGATACCTGTTGCTTTAAAAATAGGTTTACAATGGTCCCTCAACCCTGAATTGGTCAACAGTCTTACAGCCTTTTTTTGAAGCTTTAAAATTATTAGAATGTGGGTGGAGTTACCCCACAGTAACAGACCATACTTTAACAGACTTTGAAAAAAAGCAAAATACGCAGATCTAACATACAAAGGAGGAACAAAATCTCTTAGACGTCTAATTAAAAATAAAACTCTTGACAATTTCTTACTTAAGTTATATAAATGGGTTGACCAGCTTAAATCACTATCCAAATCTATGCCTAATAAATTTACACTTGACGAAAAATTCTTTTCTTCCTCAGGTGTGCGACCTAACCTAAAAACAATAGTTTGAGTCTTTTCAGGATTCATGATAGAACCATGATAGGTTTCAACTAAACAAATAAGTTAGTTAGACTATACAATACAATACAAAACGGTAAACTGGTCCCGGGTCTAGGTCCCTCCCCCCTAGTTCTATGAAAAACTCGCTAAAAAATAGGCTGCAAGAAGTGAAATTATTTTACTCTACATAATGTTTCCCAGCATAGACAAAAAAACCTGCCTTTTAAAGGAGGGGTTGGAAAATAATTACTTTCTTTTTGAAAAAAAATTCTTATCACACAACAATCTAAAATGAAGGAAAATCAAGAATTTTCAAACCAGTGGCACATACCATTTTATTTAGTGTAGTTCAGTTTATTTGTTTAACAATACAAAAGTACAAACCAGAACATATTATGACATCCTCATCCACAAGTTTCGTGGTGTTGTGATTGGAAGCTGTTGGTTACCAACAGCCCTAGATTAGGAATATGGAAAGTTCCCTTTAGAAAGGAATTACATCCTTAAAGGGCAATTTATGAAATAATTGATAGTTTTGCGCAAGGTTTCTCGTTATGTTGAACATTTTAAATTTTAAGTACCGGTATATGGTTTATGGGGGCATGACTTTTAGTTTTCTCAAAAGTTCATGGGTACTTTGGGATTTTTATATGGATTGAGAAATTGCTGTTTTACGTTTTAAAACACGGTTATTTTTTTAAAAACTTAAAAAATAATTCTTTGGGAAGCCAATTTTTAGACTTAGAACCTCATATTTGCATCATCACACTTCATTTACTTTGTACTTAACTTACACCAAAAACTTTTGTCGTACTGAGTACCAAACACCCTTTATATACATATATAATAATTTGAGCGAATGGCGTTTTTTGCCTCTGGGGACATAAAAATGAAAAAGTAAATCAGTCCCAGACCTAGGTAACATCAAATGGACTTGATGTTAATTGAGTTGGTAATAGCTACTTTAATATAGGGAAATTCGCTAAAATCCTCAAAACCTAATCCCTTGTGCTCTAATCTTTGTATTCAATTGATACCAATTTGAGGGTTTTCTTTACAGAAGCACAATGCTCTCCCCGGGAGAGGGGGGTTGCCTTGCCTAGCACAGCAGACAATGTCTATCGCCTCGGAGGACGTATCTGAGGAAGAACGTAGTCTTTTCCAGCCCTTCACTCGCGAGTCGCTCGCCGCCATCGAGGCTCGCATTGCTGCAGAACATGCCAAACAGAAAGAATTGGAGAAGAAAAGAGCTGAGGGAGAGGTTGGTGTTTTTATTACATGTTTAAAACAGGTTGAACCATAACATTGAGATAGTTTTACTTTCTTTTAAGTTATTCTACTAATGTTTTCCCATGTGTCGAAATGTTGAGATTTACATTGTCAAAATGTACAGTACCATGTTTGAGTATGTAGCTAATGTCAACCATATAAAACATCAAAGACGTGACCTTGATGTGCATGTGTTAAATTTAAAGTTTCTTATTATTTTTTTTTATGATTAATAAATCTTAATCATGAAAAGTTGTGAAATCTCTGTATATGTTGCTTACTAGCATTGACTTTGGATACTGAGATAGAAGTTAAATGATATCATAGACAAAAGAATTAAGTATAGACCGACAGCAGTGCTGCGATTAGCATATATTCTGGCGTCCCCTAGTGAAAAAAATCCAGTTACTGGCCAGGTTCTGGCCCAGGTTCCAGAATTGGCAGGAACCTGGGCCAGAACCAGAACCTGGCCAGTACTGTTCCAGAACCTGGCCAGTACTGTTCCAGAACCTGGCCAGTAACTGTTCCAGAACCTGGCCAGTACTGTTCCAGAACCTGGCCAGTACTGTTCCAGAACCTGGTCAGTACTGTTCCAGAACCTGGTCAGTACTGTTCCAGAACCTGGTCAGTACTGTTCCAGTCCCTGGCCAGTACTGTTCCAGAACCTGGCCAGTACTGTTCCAGAACCTGGCCAGTACTGGTTCAGAACCTGGCCAGTACTGGTTCAGAACCTGGTCAGTACTGTCCCAGAACCTGGCCAGTACTGTTCCAGAACCTGGCCAGTACTGTTCCAGAACCTGGCCAGTACTGGTTCAGAACCTGGCCAGTACTGGTTCAGAACCTGGCCAGTACTGGTTCAGAACCTGGTCAGTACTGTCCCAGAACCTGGTCAGTACTGTCCCAGAACCTGGCCAGTACTGGCCCAGAACCTGGCCAGTAACTGTTCCAGAACCTGGCCAGTAACTGTTCCAGAACCTGGCCAGTACTGGTTCAGAACCTGGCCAGTAGGCCTACTGTTCCAGAATGTATTGGTTGTTTGTGCTTGCGAAGACGACCCACTTTTACATGAGAAGGATGTGAAAAAACATAATTGTGTTTGTATTTTATCACGTCTTTCACATTTTCTCAAATTAAAATACAGTAACGTTTTTGTATCCATAGTTTTTTGTATTTTACGTGAATAACTCGTTAAAAATATTTACCTTTTTACATGAGGGAAAGGAATTTATCGACGGGTTTTCCAAAAAATTAAATTTGTATGCTGATATTTTTACATTATCGGTACATGACGATTGTTTGTTATTTCCATTTATATAACTCTTTTGTAGAAAATGATTGTAAAGGGTCACACTCTTGACTTACACTTTCCAATCAGACAAATACTGCCATTATCTTATCACAATTTCCACTCTTTTCTACTTACTGAAATGAATGGCAAGACTCATTAATTTTATATAGGCCTAAACCATGGTTATTGATGAGCATGATTACTTCTTACTGAAATGGTTGAGGACCCTATAATTCTGCAGTTTATGTAAGATTAGGTACTCAATTACAATAGACACTGTTATACCTAATAAAAAAAAAAAACTTTTTTGTTATTTCCGTGCTATTCAAACCGTCAAACAAAATGAAAATAACCAAATACATATCTAATATTACCATGAATGTATCTAATATTACATGTCTAATATTAACATGAATCTCAATCATACCTAATATCAGACAATTTTACGGATTGATACACAATTTTTAATTGAGGTTAATTAACTTTTTAAAATATAACAATATTGATTGTTAAATTAACTAATTTCTATTGAAACTGTTTGTAAAGATGGCTTTATGCCAGCATTTTATCGTTTTTTTTATGCAGGCCTATAAATCTTAGGCCTACCTTAGTGACAAAATCAAAAGACAATGCACAATTTAACACAGGATTATTAGGTCTACTAGCTCCTTTGTTGGTAAAAGAATTATTATTTGTGAATTTTCTTCTATTTTAGTCAGCAAGGTAATACTGCTGTTAAATTGATCATCCATTACAAAATATTTAATTTTGTTAATGTTTATCCATAGGTATTAAGAAAAATTACCTCATTAGCAAATGTGTAGGCCTTAATCAATATTCAGCATTATACTCCAACATGTATGTATTTAAAAATATTACATTAGATCTTTGCACTTATAAATAATACTGAATTTTAAAGACATAAAGATTATCTAAAGATTGAGTCCATGAGCCATTTATGGGATGCAGTCTTCGTCCTCCTCAGTCGTTTCTCCCTCCTCAGTCGTTTCTCTCCTGAAAAAAAGTAACATTATATTATTAACATTGAATATATTTAACTGGTGTTGGATGTAAATTTTTAAGAGATGACTCATGAACAGATTTCTTATTCTAAAGCAGAATCAGAACACCTGGCTTCTTTCAATTTACTGAGCCCTTTTTTGCCATTAACTCCTTAAACATATCATTTTGCTTTGGTTGAGAAAATGTTGCAGTTTCCAATAAAAAAAGTGTTGGTTTTAATTTGTTTGTCTATAGGCCTACCTATTAGTTATGATATCTTAGGCGGTCGACACACGGGAAGACTGAAACCCAACTAAAGTTGAACCAACTGTTTTGTGACGCGATTACGGTTGCAGTTGCGTTGGTTAAATCCGCACACGGGCGCGACTATAATTGAGTTGAGACAGTGAATGAGTTCTAATTTTGTTATAACGATACTGTGTACTGTGTATGGTGTTTGAAATGAGTAATAGTGATGAAGAAGCCTTAGTGTTTTATAAACAATCAAGAAAGCGTAGAGTAGAAGGTGTTGGGTACATCCTTATGTTAAAACAAATATTTAATGTAGGCTCTTTGTAGCTGCTGCTGCATTACAAGAAACAGACGCAAAATTTCAGTCTATGTACACAAGATGTCAAAAAGTGCTTACGAAGAGTTATCGCAGTTGGTATATCTGATCCTTGAAAAGCACAATACAAATATGCGAAAAGTTGTTCAAACCAGGCGACTGAAATCACCTAGCAACCGGCAGGTCCGGTTGCTTAACGACTGATCGCCGACTGGTCCTCAACTGGTCGCATCGCAGTCGCACCGTGTGTACTGTCCCACCTAACTACATTGGTCGGGACGAAGGCGACTAGTTTGTCCAACTGGTTGCTGATTTCAGTTGGAAAACAGTCTTCCCGTGTGTCGACGGCCTTAGAGAGATAGGCTATGTGCAAATAAATCAAGCATCAACTCTGTAAGGCAAATGAAACATTAGGCTAAGTTTTTACATTTTGCTTTGATGGTGACTGACATCATCTATTAATCAATCATTAGGTATCAAATTACCTTCCTTCCTACTTGCTAACAATTCGATTTCATGACGGTCTTAGCCAATCTTTTATCACCGTCTCGATGTTTCTTTTTCTTTGGCCTCTGGAAACTGGTTGAAAAACAGCTTCTGTAAGAAATAACAAGAAGTTTGCTATTATTAATAGTAAGTAGGCTATGTAGCACTAGTAACATGTCAAAATCTAATCTCAAAACCACCAAAACTTTGAAAAAGGTTTCAGCTTGAAAAGGTTCCATCAGCGAGTTTCTAGTTTCAAAACTTTAAATGGGGAAGACAGACAAAAAGAAATTAAACCTTTGACAAGAACTTCATGCACACTTTTTTAACTTAATTTTTTTGCAATCTCATTTAACGGTGATTTGCCGTTGGGAATAAATAAATTTGATTGAATCAAAATCAGCTTAATATATTTCTCAATGCTGTAAAAGGGCCTAAAAATCAACCATAATAAAGTTTTCCCAGATCTACTCATGCTTAAATAGGGTACAGTTCACAAAACTCGGCATGGTGCAATAAGGTGCTTCGACAAGCATAACCCACGCACATAAAATGTGCCGCAGCCGATTCCCATTCAATTATCACAAATTTCAAAAGTATGGATACAATAACCAAGCTATGTAGGCTACATACATTTATTAACAACATAAAATTTGTTCTAGCCTAACTTACTTTCAGTTAAGAAGTAAACAGGCCTAGAAAAATCCATACCGCTTAACCCTCCAAGTGTCACTCGTCGAAAAATCGACGCGCTACACACTTTGTGTAGTGTCACGCGCCGAATTTTCGACTCCGGAACATCGTTTACGGCAAAGGCTCTATAACTGACTGAATCGGATTGAACTGGATCGAGTTAGGTATAGTTTTTTCCGTTATATTCTAAGCTTTCTCCAGAGGTCTATCTCAGCGCTGTATGTTCTCCGAGCCGATCGTAATTGTAGCAGACAGCTGACGTGCGTATTTGTAAAAAGCTAGGTTACCCTCGGACCGATGACTGATGTGTTTTATTACGTTTATCATTGTTTTAGTGTCAAAAATCAAAAGTAGTGATATACGTGGTGCATTATAAGAAGATTTAAGTGGTTTTGAAGTGCTGGTTGATGATCCTGAAGAAGTAGGTAGTGATATTGATGTAAATTATCAGCCAGATTCCTAGCTATGGTTAGGCTATGCATTCTTAGCTAAACGCTATGTAGGCTACTGAAATCTGTTTTTTGCCCATAACTTATTTATTTGCAAATCTACTTCCTTATATTATTATATAGGTATTTGTAATCCTCATAAAATTTAGAACAAAGTGGCTATTTTCAAATATTTATAGGCCTATAATTTATACAATTTCATTGAGCGCGAACTTATTTTTTTTTTAATTTTTCCAAAATAATTTTTTTTTACCTAAAAAAATTTTTTTGAAACAAATATTCCTTATGTTTTATGTATGATATTGAAGACCATGATTTTCCAAACAAAATGGTATATAGAACATTAGAATTAACATTGTTTTAAGCTTCTCAGATCCGTTTTAATAAAACCTTGCAAATGCGCCAAAAATAGGTGGACATTAAGGCCTAAACTATGGACACTTGGAGGGTTAAGAAACATAACAGATTTTGACGCAAATTGGTTAGCTAGAACTTAACACGTTCACTGCTAATGACGCACATGTGCGTCATAAGTATATTAGCAGATATATAATACATGATGTATATAATTACATAATATATTTTAATCCACAATTTATAGTATAAAATTTATTTAATTAAAGATATATTGTCACTCAATTAACATGATCATATTAATGTTTATGTTTTATAACCATTTATAAAAGTATTACATATCATTAGCAGTGAATGTGTTAACTTATATTTACTTAAACTTAACTTAACCTAGGATATGTAAAATGTCGCAAAGTTCAGGTAAATTAGAACAAACTGGCTGTCACTGTCAATACCGTATGAATAAATTATTGGTAAGTTATCAGTCGAGAAATGTTACCAATAACTTAATTATAACATAAAATAGGCCTCATCCATAGTGTGACAGTAAATAACAAATTAAGTTATTCTAGAAATTGGTCAAACAAATACGTTAGATAGGAGTACATTTTCGGTTTGTTGGAAGTTATTTTTGGTTAGCTAATGCTCCCTAGCCTAAGTTTAATTTACTGCGCTTGGCTCGATTTTATTTTCATCCTACCCTACCTAGCAGTTGTACCGGTAGCCTATTTTTAACTTATGCCTAAGGAATTTATTTTATGAAATCAACTATCCTTTAAGGGTGTAAGAATTATTTAGGTGTAGGGCCTAACAATTGAATTTAAGATATTTAACTTGTAACCTAACTTTTAATCTAGGCTTTGACTAAGGCTGACTGCATAGGTTTAAGAAAATGATTGTAATAGGCTAAGTTAGGTATATTCCTATATAGGTTATTAAAAGTTGCAGATTTGAAACTGTGGCCAATGATTCACCTAAGTAAGGTTAAAAAGTGATATCGCATTAGGATATGCAGTAAAACGTTAGGACTCCGTTCAAGTAAAAACCAAACTTTCAAAGAAAGCCCCATCAAGGCTATAGGCCTACTAACAAATGTACTAAGATTAAATCCAATGCAAATTTGTTAGGTAGTCTAAAAACTTATAACTGTAAGCCAAAGCCTGGCTAACTCATTTAGGTTAGTTTTCTATAAGTAACTTAACTTAACTACCGGTTTATAACTTAACCTAACTTTAATCAGTTTAAAGAAAGACTAGATGTTGCAGAATTTTTATAGAACCTAATTTTTGATGTGTAACTCACATTGAAACTTATTAACTAAAGTAGGCCTAATGTTATTTTGAATTCCTTACCTTGGTTTGGGAGACAGCCTCTTCAATAACGGTATTCTTTGGTGAAAGAAAACTAAAAAACTGAAGGTAAACTACCTAACAACAAAAATCTTAGGCTACTAATATAATATGGATACGATTATACACTATTACATTTTAATTTTAAATTGAAAGGACTAAGTTATACTTTTGCAAAGTCAAGAGGTTAGGAGGCACAACTACAACACTAACAACAGCCAAGCAAAGATGGCGACGCCGATCTTTTGACAGATGGAGTTGGAACAGAAAAATCAGTCCCCTCCCCTCCTCTGCCACGGACTGCACTGGACCCTGTCATTAGCTCTCAGTCTGGCGCGAAAATTCTTTTAAATTTTAATCTTGCTCAATTTTTCAAAACAATACAGTAGGTAGTTATTTTAATCAATCTTTTATTTTGGTTGTAGAGATAATTATTCTAGGACACATACTTGTCCTATGTATGGGTATGTGGTAGTACTGTAGTAACTTTAATATTTTACAGGAAAAAATCACAAAAGTTGCAAAAAATATAAACCCTAATTTTCACAACACTGAGAGATTGCACCATTTAAATTTAAATTATAAAGACCAAAATATACTAATTTTGATCAATATAGGTTAAAAAAACACAGTTTTCCTCTATTATATATAAAATAACATATAAGTTACAGTAGCTTTTAGTAATAGGCGTTGTAAATTTTTTTTTCAGAATTTAAAGGGCTTTAACATACTTGTTATTTATAAAAAATTTTTGGCCAATATTTTTAAACGAGATTTTGCTATTATTTCATGGGTTTTTATGGAAAAATCACCATTAAAAAACTAAATTTCAAAAAAGTTAAAACTTTGAAAACCCATGGTTTGGTACTTATTACTTGCTGAATTTCATCACAATCGGACAACACTTGTGGTCTGTAGCTCTGTACAGATTTGCTCATTATTATGTATAAATTAATCGTTATCAGTAATCTCCAATTTACCAAAGTGAATAACTTGTAAGAAAACAACAAACACATATAATTGAGTATGAATTCTGGACCAGAGGCCATTATCAGCCAAGAACACTGCCAGTATCATCCAGTACCAGCAAAAACCTGGCCAGTATCAGAATCAGAATATAGTTTTATTGCCATAATAATACAAAAATGTACTGGGCATAAGTCACTAAAACTATCAAGTAAAACCAGACCCATTAAAATAAAGATACAAACTTCAATATCAGCCCAGTACTCGCCAGAACCTGGCCAGTATCAGCCCAGTACTCGCCAGAACCTGGCCAGTATCAGCCCAGTACCCTCCAGAACCTGTCCAGTATCATTCCAGAACCTGGCCAGTATCGCCCAGAACCTGGCCAGTATCGCCCAGAACCTGGCCAGTATCGCCCAGAACCTGGCCAGTATCGCCCAGAACCTGGCCAGTCTCGCCCAGAACCTGGCCAGTACTTGTCAGTACTGTGGCAGAACTGGTCAGTTCTGTGACAGTACTGGCCAGAACCTGGACCAGAAAATTTTTTTCACTAGGGTCCGCTGCTAGAGTGCCGATAGTTTTGGCACACACCGCTACAGCGTCAAGCGCTAGCGAGTGTTGCCATGGCAAGTTGGTAGTTGGAGCCAGGGTTGCCAACTTCTGGAGAATTCCCCGGAATCCAGGGAGTAGGAGTTTGTTCCTTTTCCGTGTTTTAAAAATGTCAGGGGATATTTGAAAAAAATTGGCATTTTCGATAAGGTTAAAGGATTTCCAAATTTTGGACTTTACCCATATTGAAAAGTGGGTCTGATAGGTTGGTAGCATTTCTTTTGCTAGGGTGGTAGTGCTGGTAGCAGTCTGTTAGTCGACGACGACAGCGAATCGACAAACACTGAGCACGCTCTAGTGTCATATCGTGGAACCTTCCTTTGTCAGTCTAATTTGATTCTTTTGTCTATGTTGATATGAACCAACTGCATCCAGTTTTTTATTCATAAGGAGTTGAGGACATAGTTTAACGTACTTCTCATGGAGTAAGCTACGGTTTGAATTTGATTTTCTTGTGATTTTTTATACCATGACAGTTGGTGGGGACCTAAAAGCAAAAGATACAGTAAGTTTTCTTTTCAGTTGGCATTTTTAAGGAGTATAACGTATTTGACCGAGTTACACTTTGTCAGAGGATCAGGATATGCTCTTTTTTATTTGAAAAACTGGTTACGTCTTTAACATGTTGATGGAATGTCTTCTTCACAATAGTTCACCTAAAAGTCAAAGATTGTAAGCAACTTAAGTGTGGCGAATTAGTAAGATATGCGTCAGGAGTAAATGTACTGTAAAGTATGTTTAATATTTGTGTATAGTGTGAATTTCTTAACTTTGATCGAACAGACTGGACACTTTTCCAGCAACAAAAATAAGTTTTTACACTTGTAGGCCTATGTGTTGTGAGTAAGGAAAACAATTGATTTTTTGGATGTAGAGTTTTTAGCAATGAGCGATTACTATCAAAATCCATAATTAAATTAGCTGTAATTTGTTGGTTTACTTTTTAATAAGTTAATTGGTAAGTAGCTGTTTTCAATAATACTGTCTTGTCTCATTTTCATATTGTGTGAAGTGATCCATGAGTCATTCATTTATTGTCCAAATATGGTCTGGCCAGAATCATTATTTTTTAATAGTTCGGGTCCTACAATATCATTCTCTCTTTCTAAAAATATTGAGAAAATTCAATCAGCAAATACAGTATTTCCGTTTTAATATTTGTAGAGCAGTTTGTATGTGTGGTAAGAAGGGCAAATCATATACACTTTTCAGTTTGCTAAAATTATCATTGTCATTGTCGTCTAAATCGGCGTAACCCAAGTCTATTTTTGTGTAATATGAGTAATTAAATTCAGGTTTAATATTGTTAATTTTTAAGGATCAGCGTGAGTGTGAATAGTTTGTTGGAATTATTTTCCAAACATAAGCGCTGTCTATTGCTTACCTTGCCATTGTTGTATTTCGTCATGTGTACTAAACATTTTTACAGAATAATACCAGTTTGTACAGTAGGATACACAACATTTTCATATTTGAAGTCAAACATATTTGGATGTCATCGACTGAGTGTCTTGCTTATTCGGTGCATTTGCAACTTAAATAAAGAAATTATTATTAATCAATTTATAACTGTTTTAACAATCAAAAGCCAATATTTAATTGAGTTAAAAGATTTATAACATTCACTAAGAAAATGTAAGTATTTCATTCAATACTTGCATTGGTTTTGTTCCTAGTAGTTTCTGAGATCAGTAATTGGCAAGATACTCGACGTCACTCATGTTGTAGTCAATGTCGCCTGCAATGTCGCTAAAGTCAGTCCACCCTGAATGTCTACCTAAATCTGTCTCCCCCTCTCTTTCCCTCTCAATTTCTCTTTTTTCTATCACACACGTTCAACGTTTCAGGATTTTGGACGGAAGAAAAAGAAAAAAGAAGTAAGCTATTTTGTAATAAACCCCGTCTTCTTCCACCCTCTGAGTTGTTGCACCCGGCTTAGATTACTGGGATCTCTGATTCGTTCTTGAATCTTGGATTCAAGGATTCGAATCTCAAATCTTAAGTCCTTCGGGAACGCTTCTGCTTGTAGGCCCCTAGCGCTTCCTGGCATCCCGTTATAGAATAGTGACTGTAAGATAGTTTGTAGCTGATCTGAAAAAGGCTTGACACTCTAGCAATAGGAAGACTAGTTGTTTGGTTGTCAACCATTTAGTTGTTAGGAACCGTGATGTATTCTAGTGTATTAGAGCCTTTTAGAGTCTTTACATTAGAGGAAATTATTAATTACAGCAGCCGCCCTTAAAAGTAACAAATAGTATTTTTATAAACTTTTTTACCAAAATAGTTTTCAAAATTTGAATTTACGTACATCTTATACTGATTGAACTGTACTTTTGAGTACCTAACTTAACTTGCTCAACAGTATTTTCTGTGCCATAGGCTACTACTTACTTTTTTAAACTGAGAATTATTTTCTCAATGTGAGTAGCCGTAATTTTGTGATATAATTCCCACACTGACGCTTTTACAGTTGATGTATTTGATTTTTTTTTTCGGAAACACCCTAAATAAGGTAGGTCAATATTTTTTTCTTAAAGTCACTATTGAAATAAATTAATTACAGAAAAATTAATTAACTTTGATTCTCCATTTTCTGGAAGTTTAAAACTGTTAATGAGTTTAATCAACCTATACCTATATTTTCAAAAACATTACTTATTACATTTACGCCAGATGCTGTGCCATTGACTAAGTATAGAGACTAAAATCGGTTTTTCATAGCTAATTAAATGTAATTATTTCTATGAGTTTTTTTCTGGTTTTTCATACTTGGGCTACACTTTTATTCTACTAGGTGACAATTATTTGAAAATGTATCAAACTTTTTCGTTATTAAATTTCTCATTGGTTTTTCAGTGATAGTTTAATTTTTTTATAAAAAAGTTATAGGTTACTTCCACCTTATACCTAATCAGGAAAAGTTTAATTTTTTTTTTATAAAAAAATTATAGGTTACTTCCACCTTATACCTAATCAGGAAAACAATTTTTAACTGTTAATTAGTCTACAACACTGTAACAGAGATTCGATACAATCTTCCCTGAAAAAACTGGAAAATGTAAGTCAAAATAAGTAATCACCTGCAGGACACAAAGGAAATGTTACACTTACACATTGTAAAGTAGATTTGTAATGTTACCATTATATATATTTACGTTAAGATATAATTTGATGTAAAAATCTGGTTAAAAAATGAAAATGAAGAAACACTGAGTATAAATCAGCCAAAGACTACAAAACACAATACAATCCTACCAATGTTTACCAATGAGTGTAAACAATAGCTGTATGGTTTTAACTTAAGTGATTTTGATGTAGGCCTAAATAAATTTATTATGTTGTTGCAAGATTTAAAATTTATTGAGCAAATTTCAAAATGTTCAATGACATGAGCATTAGACACTTTCATTCATTTGCTGATATTTATTTAACACTGACAAGAAACTGAAAAAATCTTTTATCGTAAAACCTAGCTCAGAATATCTTGTTGGGAAACTTTCTTCCAGAGCTACATCCCTGTCCATTTCTAACTTTCAACATCTTCACATAACTTGTTTCGTTCATGAATAAAAACCTCTGTGTTATTTTTAACATGCTAAAACTTAGAACATTCATTAATTACAATATTCTTTTCAGTAAATGAGTTTTTGAAACAGTTCATCTTGATTTTTTGGTGTGGAAACTCAAGCAATTTCTAGAAAAACTGCCAGACTTATGAATTCTTCTCTCCTACAATTACCTAACTAGTATAATAAATTTCACATACTTATCAGTTAGCTGTTCTGTAGTTTCGTAGGTGTAATGTTATGTATTTTTAGCAAAGTTTCAGCGGGATGCCAACAGTTTGCTATTCATGCTTATTTTCAGAATTTACAGAAAGCAGCTGCTGCAAAGTCACAAACACATGCTTTGCAGTAAAAATTATCTCTTGATAAAGTTCACAACACCAATATATTTTGCACAAAATATTTAGACTTGTTCCTTCATGTAATTGTTTAGTCACGTTCAATACAATGTGTCAGATATTTACTGAATGTAGTATTAATTTAGACAACCACATGTTTATCATAAAAAATTGTTTTTTTAATATTGTTGCGCTACAACGGGACCGAGTCCCTATCCGGATAATAATTTTTGTTCTAACTTTGTCCCGACCTGGTGGAAATACAGATTCCAAATCCCAAAACATTGTCAATTTTGTGATTTACTAATCAGTTATAGAAAATGTCTTCATAGATTTTTTACTGGATATAAACTTACAATTCCAAAAATAATCTTGAACCAACAAAACAATGTTTCCTATGCCAAGTTTACTAATATCTTATCATTTTGAACCTAATGCTTTTGATCCTAAGTTAATGTTAAGGTAATTATCCAATCTCTAATATGTTATTATCTTGCTCATCTTATTAGGCTTTCAAACATTGTATCGCTAAATTTCTTCTCACATAACATGCACATGCAAATTAAATAAGTTTATGAACAACAGGGGGCAAGTATACAACGTAACACGTAATTTCACTCAAGCCAGACGACACTTTTGCAGCGTTCAACTCGAAGGGGTGCTGTGTGCATGTGCTTGAATGCTTTTGCTTCGTAGCTAGTTCTATTTTTATGGATACCAGTCTTTCAAGATAGTTTTCATAAATTTGCCTTTTGTACGCTTTAAAACATCAGCATTATCACCGTTAAAAACTGAAAAAATTTTATACAACCAAGAAGCCATGTGCTTGGTTTGAAATTGGAGTTCTTTATAATATTTTTTTTACTTGATGAATACTTTATGCACTTAACTGTAATGTGAATAATAATTAATTGTGTCCAAGCTAATAAGCCATTCAATAAAGACATTTTATTTTAAGAGTTTTTATTTATAACTGAATTTTGTTTACAACATTTAGTTTTTTGAATGGCATTAGAAAATTCTATTAAACTTATTACATGCTGCATTGGTAAGTGTTGGTTAGTCTCAGTTTTTCAATAGATTTGAATATTCTACAGAAATTTTTTTGTCCCAATGTACAAATATGTTCTGATTACTCTACAACCCTACTCAGGAAACTATTAGTTTTAGAAAAGCTTTCACATTTACAAAGAAAATGAATAAGTAACTTAGAATTTAGTCATCAGAGGTATATTTTATTCAGTAATTGATTTTAAACGACTAAATTGACGATTGTTAATCAAATAATCTAAATGCTATACTCCCGCATATGTAACTGACAGGGGATCCTTAAGTACCGGTATACAATCCCTTCAAAAAATTATTTCTATACTAAACTTGTACTGTATAAACAACCTTTCAAGATTTTCCAAGGAATATTTATCAAACTTCTTGAAAGGAACCAAGCTTACTTAATCTGCGCTCATGGATTTTGACTAATTGTTAGATATTAATGTTATAGTTTTAAAACGTAATTAAGATATTTCTTGAGGCATGCAAACCAGTAAAAAGTAACAATTTATTTTTATTTTTGTTGCAAACAATTTTTCATTCATATTGCAACTTTTTATCTTGATGATTCAATTTCTCGTCAAAGTACAAGTGAAGTACTCTGGAGATGGAGAGGTTCTGTTGAAGGTTTGTCCGATGTTTATCGTGTGGTTTGTTCATTCTCCGCAGGTTCGGTATGAGGACGAGGACGAAGATGAAGGGCCTCAGCCCGACCCCATGCTGGAGCAAGGGGCCCCCATCCCTGTCAGGCTGCATAGCAGCTTCCCCCCGGAACTGGCCTCCACTCCTCTCGAGGATATAGATACTTTTTATCACAATCAGAGGGTGAGTTGTCATTGTCGAATGAAATCAAATTGCACATGTTTGTCTAGCAGCTTTAGCACAAAATACTCCTCAAAACTGTATAAAGCGTAATTGAAAAGCTAGTGCTTTAAAAAAAAACTTGTTTGAAGAATTTACAGTTTTTAGATAATGTGGGGATTTATTACTTTATTTGTGATCAGTGTAATATTCTTCAGCTTCAAGCAAGGCAAGTAAATGAAAAATACTGAAGGTCTTGGCACCTCAGTCTTTAGCGATGTTTATGCCATCTCTATGAAAGGCTTTAGGATTTTTTTCATAGAGGTGTTATCATAAATTAATGTAAATAGAAGTAAATGTTAACATTCTTAAATTAATGAAAATAGGTTTGCTCGGCTGCACGTAAGTTGCAAATTGTCTGAATCCTTATTTTTCCTTTTATTTGATCTTAAATGATGGTATATAATAGCTCTAGCTATCAAGGCAAAATGGCTAAAGGATAGTGATAAATACCTTCTAACCATAATTTGCTCATAAATAGTATCAGTTATCATTTAGAGATGTTGGCAAATGAATATTTTGATAGCATGCTACAGTAATGACAACAATGTGTTAATTCAACAAATTGTGATAATAAATTTGTTTTAGACATTCGTCGTCGTTAGTAAAGGCAAAGACATTTTTCGATTCAGTGCGACCGATGCCCTCTGGATGTTGGATCCGTTCAATCCAATTCGAAGGGTAGCGATCTATATCCTCGTACATCCGTTGTTTTCTGTGTTCATCATCTGTACAATTCTGCTCAACTGCATCCTCATGATCATGCCTACCACGCCTACAGTCGAGTCAACCGAGTAAGTCGTAGAAATGTACAGATATTTAGTTTTGAACTGATTGAGTTGTGTGACTGACTGACATTTATTGGCTACTAGCTGTTATGTAAAACGTAAAAAGTATACTTAATCACAGTGTTGTAAGATTTTCTCGTATAATATCTTGTTCTTTCTGAAACAATTAAGGTTTGCATTCTTACTCGTTGTCTAACTACAGTGGACTCCTTAGTGTATGTCTGTTGGTAACACATTAATGTCCTTATTTCTCAGTGTTTCACGGAAAGGACAAGAACATTTTGATAATGAAAATTTCAACCCGAATAAAGTGTTAAATTGTGAGGTTGAGATAGTAGCTTAAATACTTTTAACCATTGTGGAAAGTAACTTTCAATTATAGCCCTACCCTAGGGCTATGCTTTATAGATCTATAAAGCATTTTTTAGTTTAATCATTGGATTTAACATATGGACAAAAACGATCCGGGTGACATTTATTTGCGAAACATTTGTTTTGGCTTGAAACTGTCAGACACTGTATTTGCGAAGGTTTATATATAATAGTTTTGCCAGAATATCTGAAAACATGCAAACCAACTGCTGTTCTTAATATAAGAATGTTTCAACGATAAGATCCCCGTGCGTAGAATGGGCACACAGCTAGTCAGCAGTAAATGAACACTATTACACTGTAACACAGCTTTGACTAGGAACTTAAAAAAGTATCCAAAGTCAGTCAAAGTCCATGTGTACGCTATGGACCAAGCAGTGCATCTGTGTGACTGTCGGATTTACTTGTAGGTGGTCGTTATAACTGTCCAAAGTCTGATCAAAACTGATCTGAATGAGAGGAAGCCTTTCATATACATGTCTTAAAGCACAAAAAATATGTCAAATAACACTTATAATAATATATTTACACTTATAATGTTTAGTCACCAGACGGGAAATATACATAAGTGGTGGTCGATTTTGATTGGACACACCAATCATCATCAGACCCAATAGGCAAATATGATTCGCCTATAGGTGATCATTAGCCTATTGGGTCTGATGATGATTGGAGTCCAATCGAAATCGATCACTACTTACCATTTTTTATATGTATTTACCGTCTTTTGACTAAACAGTATAAGTGTAAAAATACTATTATAAGTGTTTGTTGACCTATTCTTTATGCTTTCAGGTACTTTAATAACACGTACGATACTGACCAAGAAGTTATTTATATAAAATGTATATCAATGATATTTATCACTTAAATTTATCAAGGCTCAGCTGTTTTATATACCATTGATTTTTTTTTCAGAGTTATCTTCACCGGCATCTACACCTTTGAGTCTGCCGTGAAGGTGATGGCTCGTGGATTCATACTCCAGCCGTTCACGTATCTTAGAGACGCATGGAACTGGCTCGACTTCGTAGTTATAGCATTAGCGTGAGTAGATATAGTCATAGAGTAGTCCCCTAGTAGAACCCTGTTTAATGTATATACCTCGAGGTCGATTGTGGTGATTCATAGTGTTTTATAACTTTGCGTCTCTAGTCAAAGGTTCAAGAAATGTGGTCAAAATTAAGGTTATCTATTTAGCCTTCAAAGCCCCGTAAAAAAAACTGAGGAAAGTGTGGACCAATGTCATTACATCACTATATTAAAGCAAACTAACCATTCTGCTCAGTAATGTTTTGTAAGAGATGTTATATATACTTAAACTTATTTGAAGTAGGCCTAATTATACAGTTTTTAAATCATTTAAATCATACCTATTTGAAGTTGCCATAAGTTATACTAAAAACCATTCCTCAAAAATGATTTTTTTTATCTTTACCAATTAATACTTCCATTGTGCAAATGTATTTATGTAATATATGTATTCTTGAATTAGATTTTTTTTAAAATCTATTTGGTATTTTTTATTCTTGTATACAATTATTTTGCGCAACTTGAACTTTGTTAGTAAAGAATGTATGACCATGGCCATTCATCAAACGAGTTTCTATTATTTTCACGGCACTAGCCTTGGCTAAGACACAAAGTATATTACTATGAATCAACTAATAATTCCTTATATACTCTATAATGTCCCGGTAGGCTAGGGTAATATTTAACTCCTGTAATTTAACATGTCACGAACCTCTTTTGTAAGTATGGCCCTCAAGAATTGTGTCTTATATTGGATTTGATAATTGTGTTAGTTATATTCTAATTCAAATGGGAATTTAAATGACTTACTCAAATGAGGTTTTTCAAGGATACAAACAAATGAATGAAATACATGTACAATAAGTCTGCAGGTGACAGAAAATAGAGAAACCAAGATAAATAATTTGTACTACAACACTGTTGTCTTTGGTTTTGACTCTACATTCAATACCATTTCACTACCCCCATTTTAGCATTTAAACTAATGAGAGATGATTTTGGATTATGAATTAACATATTACCTATTTACATTATTCTTATTTTATGTATCTTAACTTACCCAAACGAAACAAGAACATAATATCATTCACACATTTTTGGAACAGGAACAAACCAATTAATATGTATAGACAATATTTTCCTTCAAAAGGTTTTTGGACACCCTGAGAAGCAAACCAATTTTTATAATTGTTTTAAAGTAGATTTCTATAAGTCTTCTATTATTTACGGGTCGCCGGAATTTTTCCCCCCTGGAATTTTACCCCCTGGGTAAAGCTGACGTCACGATGATGTAGGTAGTAACCTGAGTGGCCAAAAGTTTGTTTGCGGCCAGAATTTTACCCCCACGGATTTGGAAGTCTAATGAAAATAGCCAGAGCGTGATTAATTAGATTAGCGATAAAAACCGGAATTTTACCCCCTGTCCATATAACTAGCGTTTAGACAACTGAAGATGTACGGGCCGGATTTTTACCCCCGGAATTTTACCCCCGGATTTTTACCCCCGGATTTCCCCCCCCCCCCCCGGAATTTTACCCCCTGGCCGATTTTAGAAATTGAATGATTGATTTTCTTATTTCTGTTTTTAATTAATTGTAAACATTTCATTATTTAGTAGCCTATCTTTATTCATTTTGTAATCTCAACTAAGTAAACAGAATTCGCTGTTTAATTTTGATGTTCGGGATTTGCGTTTGGGGCCAACTGTTGGTTAATAAGTATGTAAAATAAACTGAGTAGCTCATTTAAATGATAATTGGGTGAACATTTCTTCGTAAAGAAACAATAAGGCATATTTTGTTATTGTTACAATACAAACGAAAAACATTGTTTTACCACGGTTGTATAATAAATCGTTGAAGAAATCTTCGAATCAATTACCATTCTGATGTTTGTTTATACGTCATATTAATTTAACAGTTGGCATCAAAGATCGAATAATGATACTCAAATCTCAAAATTAAAATCAAAAACCTGTTCGATTAGTTGATGTTACAAATAAATTAAGATAGGCTGCTTAATAATAAAATGTTTACTATTAAATTAAAACAGAATGAAGATAATTAATCATTCTCACTAATTTATATATCTGGCCAGGGGGTAAAATTCTGGGGGTAAAAATCCGGGTGGGTAAAATTCCGGGGGTAAAAATATGGGGGGTAAAATTCTGGGGGTAAAAATCCTTGAGCATCACGGTTAGGAGGAACATCCCCACAATCGGCAAAATCATGAACATCTCCCGTTATCTCAGGGACATCATTATTGTCACCGGTGATCACGGGGACATCGTCTTATTTGTCACCCGCGATCACAGGAACATCAGTATCATCACCCACGATCGCAGAAAAATTTTGAACATCTCCCGTAGTCACAGTAACTTCATTGTCGTCAACCCTGATAGCAAAATTGTGAACATCTTGCGGACATCATTATTGTCACCGGTGATCACAGGAACATCAGCATCCCCACTAACGATTGCAGAAAAATTGTGAACATCTACATCACAGTAGATCATCACAGGAACTTAATCATTGTTACCCTTGATCACGACAAAATCTCGGATGTCTCCCGCAATTGGACATCATCATCGTTACCTGCAATCGTGACAATTTATTAATTTTAAAAAACCTATTTTTGTTTTTAAAAAATTGTTTGTACATAAAGTTACAGCCCACTTATGCTGGCGGCCCTAGGTCGTGGCCTAGTCAGCCTACGTAACTACGGCACTGCTTAAAACAAAACTTTTACTTACACTAGTAAATTTAACAAAACAAATATTGTGTCATAACAGTTGTTCGTTGATTTACATTAACCCTTATGTAGTTTACAAAGACTTTATTTTCACTCAATCAAAGAATTCTTGATCCACAACCGTTTGGCTCGGTTTGTTCCTGTTCCAAGATCATTAAAAAGCATGTGGGTTTTCACAAGAGCACTATACACATAGACTGAAAGTTAGTGCACTTCAACTAATTAAGCTGGGATCACATTACAAAACTTTGTTAACAATATTACAAATTTAACGTCAGTGGTTATAGAAATATTATCTATAGACATAATGTTTCTGTTTTGTTATACTTTTCCGTGCCTTATGAAAATATAATGAAGTTTAGGGGAAGGAAATTATATTTAAATAAATACTTTTGTTCGACAAAGATATAAGAATAAAATTACCGTCAGCGTTTTAGTGAAGAAAAGCCTCCAATGCAGGGACGGTAGTTATTCTTGGCTTTCTTTATAAGTTTTCTAGCCACCTGTGTGGACAGGCCTACCACTTTAGGTATGTTACATATACAAGGGCTTGAGACTGTCACCTAACGAATTGTCATTGTTGATCTAATGCAGTAACCACAAAGCTCCCTATGAAAACCATCCTTAATAAAGCAGATCAATGTCGACAAATTTCTTGTTCCAAAAAACTGTTTGACACATTTGAATTGATCTAGTGGTAGGCACAAGGTTTTGTCTTAGTCCCTTAATTTTTTTAATTGTTAAAGGAATTCATCCAGTTAAACCAATTTGTAATTCGTTTGAATAAAATCCATCAATCTTCTAAATCAAAATAAAATATATTAATATAAAAAGCCAAATATGCCAAAATTAGTACCTATAAATTGTGTTCCTGTAAAGTTTTAAGTGTGCATTAACTTTCTTCTCGCAAGCACTCTAGACATTTAGTTAAACTTAAAACACACTGCACTAAGCACAGGGGACATTATACATATCTAGAGGTTGAATAATATTATAATATAAGACATGATCACCACTACGTATGGATTACTTCCTGACCTTTATTGTATACTTGGGACCATGGAAAGATTATATTTTAGAATAAAAATTCTGAGTTTATTAATTAATATGATACAGTACTTCCAATCCATAGTACCCTTGGAACCAATTAAGCATAGTTTCCGCTATTTTTTTCATAAGGCTAATTGATGGAATTCTAATAACAGTTACAGAAAAGGAATAAGTAAGTCAAATGATATAACGATATCACTATTATCTTAGTTTAGATAGGATTTTTCTAACTGTCCTTAAATAGCTTATTTGAAAGTCTTGAAATCATCTCATTCGGCATTCTTAAATTTTTTTCAAACTTATCAATCAGAATGTTTGCAAGGGTAAAGATTTAAACTTTTCAAATTTAAGTAAATAAAAGTAATGTATGCATATCGACTAGTTATATATTTACCAAAGATTTTTACTTGAATAAAAAATAAGGACAGTTAACAGTGATCCTATTTAGTCATTAGATTGGTTTCTCTTTCAATGTTTCGTGGTGAATTGTTAAGTGTTCAATATAATCATTGTTTCCTGTACGTTAGCTTAGTTCTAGGTGACGATTTTATAGGTCTAGCTAGAAGTTCAGAATTGTTTGAGTTTCAAAGCAAGCTACATAAATGTTATTTTAGATTAGTTTGTAATATCCAACTTTAGTTTTCCAAAAACTGAAAATTTACAATAACACTTTTTTTACATGACAGATATTGGATATAGTTGAGTAGTTTTATTAATTGAAACTATCAAGTTTTGTTTACAAGGTTTACAACCATCAAGAATTTACAATATTTACATAGATCTGTTAACATCAATATAACTGGTTTACCAAAATTTTTATCACTAAAACTAATTGTATATAGTGTAAATGATTTTTGTCTTTTGTGAAATGGTATACTTCCAATTAAATTATAACTTTGAACATTTTGACTGAACTGTAGTCTAGGATGTTGTCTAGATAATATTTGATGTTTGTTCCCATTCTATGACAGTAGAGTAGAGGAGTTTATGGAATAATAAATTTATATTGTTGTTAGACCAGTTTCTTCTTCATAATTATTGTATATTTGTCCTATCAGGTGGCAGTTTAATGATATTTGGATTTTTGTACCGTATATTCAAAAGTATGGCGTTTTAAAAATTGATCCATGTTCAATGTCTTTCAAGCCCCTAGCGTAGTTAAAGATTAAAAATATTTATCAATAAACCTAAACTTTTATTTCTGTAGATTATGGATTGGTTTGGTAAGAATAAATAAGTAAAAACCTTCGCCTGTATCAAAGCCTAAAAAATATATAATTTACTTTATTTTTTGAAAGTTCAGCAGATAAATTTATAGGTTGATTTTTTAAAACGATAACTGAAATTTTTGCTTCTAACGATTTGGAAATACTCTAGACTGTGTAGTATTTATTTTATGCTGCATTGAAACCTCACTTAAAATTCAATTATGTTAAAAGCTGTGAACTATATCACAGAAATAAAAACTGTATGGATAGGTTTGCTTTTAAGGTCACCTGGTAGGCATAGGTAGTTTTTGCATGACCCTTTTTCTGAAATATTTGTATTCAAGAGAAGTCGAGTCTTAGTGAGGATAGTCCCCAGCTTTCCGTGTGTATTCTAGCTGTTTAGTCTCATTTCACTCATCTTAGATATAATAAATTTTTATTATTATTGAAATTACTGGTAAGAACGATCAACAATGTTAGGATAGTTTCTGTCTCTAGAAAATTATTTTGCATAAATTCTTGGAATATTTATCAAGTAATCGTTAAAAGTAAAAATACAAATCGTAGACCTTTAAAATAAAATAAGGTAAATTTTGGAGGATATAAAAATTAATATTTTATACAGACATCTATTTAGTGTAAAGTAAGAGTTATTTTATACAACAAAATTAGTCAGGACCCTATAGTCGTATTGACAAGAGTTTTTTTTTCCTTGCACGTTTTCCCCCCGAGTATGCCAATAAATAAAGAAAAGGTGAAATTACCAAAATACAATTTTTTGAATACTTAAATAATCTGTTAAAAATTATTACACAAATCAGATTGCGAATGTTAAAAAAATTGTTTGATTTGTAATATACACCCTTTTGGCATGACAGACTGATGAAATTATGATATTTCAGATGCTCAGGAAAATCCTTTAATTTCCATACACCAAAGTATTAAGAATACCTTTGCTGACAGATGTCTAGATATTATTGCAAATTTTAGTGTAAACTTGGAACTTTTTTGTCGATTACACTGCATTGAAACATTTTTCAACAGTTTATTCGTTGCTTATCTGACTCCTGTCTAAAACTTGCATAATATTTTTTTGTCTTCTAAACTATAATATAGCCAGTTGGCTACCTATAATATAGTTAAATTTCTATTTTATCAATATTATGTTTAATTCAATAACCTATGTTTAGTTAACTTCATCTGCATCGGCCGAAATACACTCAATTTTCTAATTTAACTGATATTCTGATGTTTTGTACCTACATTAAAATATCTAATATCCTATTTCTCTAGTATAGGTTAATTTGTTTATTCCATTAAATTTTAATTTTGTGAAGTTTTCATGCCTCTAAATCAACTTAATTTGGGTAACATTGGGTAAACCGTTTTGAATTGTTACAAAATAATGTACGTGGTTTAAACTTTTAACTTGTCTCTTGTTACTAGGTTCCTCTACTGTGACAGACTAACATTTCACAGTTAATTTTTCCAGTTTCTTGCCTGTGTTTGTTTTTCATCTGAATATTTTGCTCTGGCTACTTGCAGCTATGTTACAATGGGAATAGATCTCGGGAACTTGGCAGCGTTGAGAACTTTCCGAGTTCTGAGAGCACTCAAAACTGTCGCAATCGTCCCAGGTAAGTATTGGCTAAAAGTACCAATTTGTGAACTCAATTAATATACAGTAGAACCCCTCCTATCTAACCTTGGAATAATTGACTCCTCAGAATATCGGACCTAGGATGCGACCATCTATTTGTTTCCTGTTTGGGGCAATAACGCCGAGTGTGATCAGTTAACCGAAAGGCTGATGGCGGATGTTGGACCGCGGCAGATGATCACCACTGTAGTCGATAACGGGTGTTGTCTTGAGACTGCAAGTTACACTCACGGGTGTTGCTGCTGTCACGGGAGACGATTGCTGAAGTCACAGGGACTTCAAGTTACGCTCATGGTTGTTGCCGCGGTCACAGGAAACGAATACCAAATTCGCCGAAACTGCAAGTTAAGCTCATGGCTGTTGCCGCGGTCACAGGAGACGAATACCAAAGTCGAGGAAACTTCGGGCTATGCTCTTCCTGCTTCATGCAACCTTTTGGTCGTCCCGACATGGTCGGATAAGAGGGGTTCTACTGTATAATTTTTAACTCTCTGCACTCAGTTGCCTAGTCACACTGGTGATTGGTTGTTGACGTAAAGAGCATGAAGTTGTTTCAACATCAGTTGTTCGTGCTGCTTGTGTGGCATCATGGGGACTACTTCTCTCCAGTTCAGAATAATTTTTATTTTAACTTGACCTCACAAGAAACATTTGTGTACAAATATTTTGATCAGTGCTGCTGGTTTTTTTCGTTTCATATTGTTTTTTTGTTGGTCTTAACCACTGGCCATCCAAGTGGTGGAATCATTGAAATTAATCAAACCTAAACCCAACCCTGTGAAATGTATAGTCTTTTGGATTACATTAGCCATTTTTTATCAAGGTCAATAGATCAGTTGACAGTCTTACAGAGTTGTACCTTAACCTTATGTCTAGCTCAAGATACTTTTTGTCAACCATACTTGTGCTACTCTATTATTCATTTGAGGCAAATAAAAATCCAAACAACTTTTCATTCTGATTTTGGCAGGTCTGAAGACAATCGTCGGTGCCGTCATAGAATCAGTGAAGAATCTGCGAGATGTGATAATTTTGACAATGTTCTCGCTGTCGGTGTTTGCGCTAATGGGGCTTCAAATCTACATGGGAGTTTTGACGCAGAAATGCATTAAAAACTTCCCTGATGATGGCTCCGCGGGCAACCTGTCGGACGACACCTGGTTTAGGTGGTGCAGTAACTCGAGTAAGTAGTACTGTCTTGGTGGTTACTGGGATCTTTTAAACCAAAACCTCACGTTTGAGTGTCTATATGTTTGGGGTGTAAAACATCAATATACATACATTGATTGAAATGTTATCAAGTGTCAGTTTTGGATCAACACTCACAAGACTGAGTTTGTTTTCAGTGGGAATGGAAACACAGTGAACTTCTTGGGATATTTTATTGAACTTACTAACTAGTAACTGTTTTAAAGAAATATACGATAAGAAAATATTTTTTAACTCATGCTACATATTATTTATTACACTACTGTAGTGATAGTGTTGGTCAAAAATGTTTAATTTCAAACTGAAACCAAAACCTTAAAAATTTGAATCCCGAATATGAAATATGAACAGGAAACTTTTTATCTGGTTGATCAAGGTTTTTCAAAAGCCCAGGTTTGAATAAAATCATTATTATGCAATCAATCTCCTGGTCCTAACCTAAAAATATATTTTTTTTAAAACAACAAACACTAAAATAAGTTTAACTTCTGATACTGTCACCAAAAACATGAGATCAATCTTTACTTTAAAGTTTAAACCTATAGTAAAAACGATTTTTTGATACACAACAAAGACTTCACTCCATCTCAACATTAGCTGATCAGATCTCGAAACAAAACAAACACTTTTCTAAGTTTTGTTTATTTGGAGAATTTTTTGGGGGTTTTACTCCCAGTTTTATTGTAATAAAACACAATTATTGCCTTATAACAATTTATGAAAATTTACTCTTCGAAAATTTTTTTGTACTTATAGACTTTTTGAAGACATGTGTATTTTTTGATATCTCCAAGTATGGATCATTGCAGTAAAACAATTATTTGAAGTTAAGTTAATCAAAATGGAAGTGATTAATTATTAATAAAGCCAATATACAAAATGCTACTGTACCTTAAAAACTATTTCGGAGCAAAATACCTTGTTAAAAAGGACTTGTTTTCAGGCAATTGGGATGGAGAGGATAATGACTATCCCTTGTGTGGAAATGCATCAGGAGCCGGGTGAGTCTGTAAAATTTAGTTGCTCAAGCTAAATTAGTGTCGTACAACTAAGTAGGCCAGTCTTAACCAACCCTGGATCAACCACTGTTCAGGTTATCCGCCTCTGTTGGGCAGCCGCTATATAGGTCGGTTTATTTGCCAAACATTTGAAAACTCAAATTGTGTGTTTCTTTCAAACAAAGTATTTCTGTTTTCAAGAGTAATTTAGTACTGGATAGAAAGAGAGACCGTCTTTCTACTTTCTATGGTGTAGAAATGTATGTACACGATCAGTGGTGTGTTGGAGTAAAAACGCTTGAAAACAGCGTTCCCACTCCACTTTTTGCAAAGAACAAATATATTGATAGGCAGGCCGTATTTTTCTACGACAATGGTGATCGTTTAAACTGCACTGCGAAATGTACGACTAAATCATTGTAGGCGGTCACTTTGCATAGTTTTATTGTTACTTGAGTACAATTAACTATTCAATTAGTTTTTTATTAATATAAATGTCAATGAAATATTTATTTCTACAGTATTTTACATGTTTACGTAGTTGCCTGTTTTAACCAACCATTATATGTTATTCGAAGGCCTGGTCCCGTGAGGTTCGGTTAAGACCGGATGTTCTGTATATGTTGATATTTTTAGGAGTAAACTGCTGAAAACTACTTAACTCAAATCGTTGATGTTTATGATAGTTTCATTTAATCAATCTGTAACTTAACCAATTTAAATTAACATTTTAATAAGTTTAAGACCTTGTAAACAAATACATTTTTAAGTGTCTAATGAAATCTTCCCAATTTTTCAGCATGTGTAAACCTGGCTACACATGTATACAAGGGTTTGGCAAAAACCCCAACTACGGATATACGAGTTTCGATACCTTCGGTTGGGCTTTTCTGTCGGCCTTCAGGCTCATGACGCAGGACTACTGGGAAAATCTTTACCAGCTGGTGAGTATTTTGCGTATCTGATTAGTAAATGCTCACCCTATTTTGTTTTAACAATAATTTACAAACAATACCAGGTCTGTGTCCAACAGAGTAGAAGGGGGTTGTCTGATCAATTTGGGGAGACTCACACTATAGGCTGGCCTCCTTGATGAGTAAAAACATTTTCCCTCCTCTTCCTAAATCAAAAGTTCTTGCAAAAGAAGTTAGTAGATATTGGCGAGGGGGTTGGTGAGGAGGTTGGCGAGGGTACTTTTGTGAAATCATCCCTGCCTTGCTATTCAGTGTGAACCTCTACCCCTACCCCAAGCACTGTCAATAACCAGCACCTGTATGTTTTAGTGCGGCTAGATACGAATTGTCCGTTTCCACAGAAGCTTGGGCCATCTGAACCTAATTTACTCTGAACCCAACAATTTTAAACTATTTACTATATCTACTACAAACCGTTTGAGAAAATTAAATAAAAATTGACACCGATTGAAAGATTTCATTTTAAAATATGTTTCCTCTGTATATCTCAATGTCGGTTGTCTGTTGACTGGTCTGATGTTTTCAGGTGTTGAGATCAGCGGGACCATGGCACATGTTATTTTTTATAGTTATTATCTTCTTGGGTTCATTCTACCTAGTGAACTTGATCTTGGCCATTGTCGCTATGTCGTACGATGAACTCCAGAAGAAGGCGGAAGAGGAAGAAGCTGCGGAAGAAGAGGCGATAAGAGTAAGTCTACAGTTGACTCGGAACTAAACGATTTGTCAGAATAAATGAAAATTTTCAATGATGAGAAGGGAATTTTATTTTATTACGAATGACGTTTTGAAAGTAACTTGCAGTAGGTGACGAAAATTGAGCAAATCATTAAATCCTATTAATGACAATAAAAAAATACTATTAGTGTTAAGAATTATAGTAAGGAAGCACTATTGTAGTGTCTTCCTCTAAAGATTATAAATATATTTTGATTAAACACCGAGAAATGAAGGCTGTCGACTACATTTTTGTTCAATTTGAGATTAAAACTTAAAGAAGTTACATTTTCTATTAGTAAAACACTTTCTGTATAGGTATATTTTAAAGCAAGTTATATTTATTAAAAAATCATATAGTTTTTACTGTCCAAAATGTTATACCTAGTCAACTAAAAAAATAAATATTATGTTATAATTGTAGGAAGCAGAAGAAGCGGCTGTGGCAAAAGAGAATAAAAGAGCAGCAGCGGCAGCGGCGGCCGCAGCGAGAGAAGCAGGCGAGGTAAGATATTAGGAGTTTTATAAGATCTATTATCTATTATTTTTAAGAGGGTGGTGGCCTATTTAACCTTATGATATCTCGTCCACGTGGGCCTTGAGCTTGTACATGAAACGTATGCAAAGAAAGAGCTGATTTGTTACAGCACATGATTTTACCGTACAGATAAATATACTGCCAATGATATTGCTGGCCTGGATTTGTAGTTGGTTGTGCTATCCAATCGCACATTGAATCGCCATTGCTACAGACTATCTGTGGGGTAATAACAACATGGACTTCCATACTAGGATATCATTATTTTTTGTATATGCAAGAATCTATGGCTCCTAGTTTTCGTTTCAAATTCATACACTTAAATTGTTGATGTTCAATAAATTAAATGAACTAATGTTTCTTTGTAGGTTAAATAGTTTGAAAATATGAAAAAGATCCTTTCTTTCTAACTGATCCCTCCTTGGTTGAAAATGCTGTGACATTTTCTAATCGTGTTTGTAATGCCAGGGTGGACTTTCTACCATTTAGGTAAGCCTGCTGTTCCAACATTGCCCATTGAAATCCCAGGCTGTTAAGGTTGATCACAGTTACTTCCAAAGTAGCCATGACGTTTACGTATAACTTAATCTAGTTATTTAAATATTCCATGTTGTCAACAGGTGGCGAGCGTCGCTAAGTCACCATCAGACATGTCGTGTGCGAGCTACGAACTGTTTGTCAATCAGGAGAAAGGCAATGCGGACGACAACAACAAAGAGAAGATGAGTATCCGCAGTGACTCGCTCAGTCAGGGTAGACCGTCCACGGGGCAGAAGGTGCGCAAAGTGAGCGCGGTGAGTCGCACTTGATACACTCAACTTTGATTAGCTGTGCAGGAAGTAGATCCTGAGAAAAGTCCGTAGTTTTATGGTTCAAAACAAAACCAAGTAGTCTTTATGGGAATAAATAGTCAGGAAGAAACTATTGGTATAATTAACAATGGTATTGAAGGCACATAACCGATCCTACACTCATGTTCCATTCATATTTTGGGTCAAATAGTGTAGTGAAGTAGTCAAATAGTAATGTAGTGAAATTCCAAGCTACAGCTTTGGTTTCTTATGCTCTCCATTTCCCTCAACCAAATACGGAAAAGATTGTTCCATAGCCAAACAAGTTACTTCTTTGACAAGAATGGTTTGACAATTCAAATACAGCACAGAGATTACATTTATTTATATTGTTGGTTGTATTCCTTTATATATCAAACAATTTGAAACAAAATTGAAAATTGAATTTAAATTTGTGTGGCGACCAAAGAAATTTGATAATGTTACAACCACTGTGTTTACAACGAAACTTTTCATCCTAAAAGCTTTGTAAACTAACAAAACTTCAGTTTTTCCGAACTACTAAGACTTGCCAACAAAAGGGCCTGAAAAGAAGTAATCTATTTTTTTCAACTTTAGTCAGATGCATCATCACAAATCATCCTTATGTTTCTCAATTTACGATAATTTACACACCACATGTTACAATATAAGACGTTTGTTTCACGCTTAGTCTCACAATTGTGTTTCTGTCGTCTTGTTGATTTGTTTGTCTGGGGGTAGCGCACATTCTTAGGCGTTTTTATTTGTTTTTGTTGGGGTAGGTGGCATTGAGAAAGACTGCAACTAAAAGCCAGTTTCATTTTGCTTACCAGGACAGCGATGCAGAGGTAATCGTGGTGGACTTCTGTCTCTGTCTTTGTCTCTGTTTGTTGTTTTACTGTCTCATTGTACACTTGCAACCAAGCACTAGTGATGAGGGATATGTGTGCATATCAAACGCATCTGATAGCATTCAAGATTTTGTTTGAAGAATTATTGCAGACATTTCATAAATGATAAGTTAAAAAGGGTTCACAACTTTTTGGGATGTAGAATCAGACCTTTCTAGTGGGAAGAAACCTAGGACAAGATTATTTAACAAACAGGGTACTCACCAATTCCTAATGTTTCCCACCAAAAATGGAATAAGTGAAATAACATTAAACAAGGTCATAACTACACAGTCTGAAAACTCAAGCATCAAGTGGGCCGGTAGTTTTGATTCATCTTTTATTTTTTTCTGTCTTTTTAATTTGACTGTTCTATACAATAGTTAATTTCATTCAGTTAAAGAGTTTGTTTACTAATCATGTATTTTTCTATATTCCTTGCCATCTAAATATGGGATCAAATTTCAGATCCTGAAATTTTTTTCAGTGATGGAAACTGTCCCCAATAACCAAAACTCCCCAACTCCAACAATGAACTTAACGTTTATTCAAGGGTTTGAAACTAGTGATGGTTTATAAAATTGACTTTTTATCAGAACAGTTTTTTAAGTTGTGAAAACAAAAATATATTCATAATCCACAGAAAACCTAATCTATCTATATATTAATAGGCAAGCATGTTTCTTTAAAACCTTTTTTCTCAGCTCGTGTGCATCGCAGGGAAAATCTACGCATACTGTTGGAAATATATTTTCCTGTAGATGTGCAGAATGCTTTTAAAAATTAAAATAGGCTAACAAATAAGAACAAAAAATGATTTTGAAAACTTCAAAAAATTAACATGGACCATATGGGTTGCCATGATGGTGACGAAATAACAACAAAATGTAAACAGAAAATCAAAACAAATGGAAGAAATTCCAATCACATGTTTTTTTACAGTGTGGGGAGAAAATAGAGAAGTCTGTACATTAATTATTTTTGGTCGAGTTTCGACCACAGGACAACCACTAGTATTTATAATTGAAAGAAACTCTTGTAAATGTTAATACTGTACCAGTACAAAAAAGTATTTGCACAAGTAATTTTAAGCTTTACTCGGGTTTGTCTTGTGTGTCTGCTGCGAGTCTTTGTTCCTTTTTTTTTTGGAAACCGCACAAGTGTGTGTTTATGATAATTATTTCAGTGTAAAACTTAGCAATGAATCTGTGCCATTTTACTTTGTAATGAAGTGTTACCAACAATTACTGTCTTTGCCTCTCTACCTGTCACTATCATGCATGACTAACAAAAATTTAACTGTTGCTTGATGTGATGCATTGCAAATAAATGTTAACACCCCACATTCAAATGTGGCTTTACCTTGCTTGACTTGAACAGTGTTCTTCAGGAGATTCATAAACACTTTGTGATAATATGGAATTTTGAAATATCTTTTTGGTACTTTGCTGGTACCATAATTCAGGCAAATTGAAAGGAAATTGGAACAAATATTTTGTTTTAGCGAATTTCCCTATAGGGAAGTAGCTATTACCGTAGGTCTCATGGTAAGACCTAGGCCCGGGACCGATTTACTTTTTCATTTTGATGTCCCCAGAGGCCAAAAACACCATTCGTTCAAATTTTTATATATCTATATATAGAGATATATATATATATATATATATATATATATATGTGTCCATCCGCACGATAACTTGAGTAATTTTTGTCCGATTTTGATAAAATTTGGTTTGAAGGTGTAAGGCGGGATAAACTTGAACGAGTTCGCGAACCAGCATGATCGGACTATGGGAACGGGGGTTTACGGGGGGTTTTATGGGGTAAAAATAGGTTTTTCCCATTTTTGACCCAAAAAAAATAAAATTTTGCAAAATCTTTTCAAACCATTTTGTAGAGCTTAAAAAAACAAATAATTTAGTATATTGAAGTGTTACTATGCGCCTAATGGTTACGGAGAAAATTCCAAAAAAATGTAAATTTTAAATTCCCATGTTATTCTTATGGAGAATGAGTAAACTGTTGTAGTTTGCTTGTTTATGAACATATTTTGATCAAATTTGGAAAATGTTTTTATTTCTTACTAACTATTAACATTTTACAAAAAAAATTTTACCCTCCCTGATGCAGCAAACCTAAGTACCTGTTAAAATAATTCTATTTAAATAGGAAATAAATGTAAAATTTTTAAGTAGACATTTTAGTGTAAATCCAATCAGACATATGGAAATTCGCTTAGTCTGCAGGTTTGCTGCGGCGGGGGTATTTGTTTTTAGGATTGCAGGTACAAACCTTTTTATTGTTTAATGTACAATGTTTTTCATCGTGTGTAATTTAAAAGATAATATTTCTGAGCCTTACAAACATTCCAGTACTATACAGTACTACAGTACTAACAACGTTATTTAAAAAAATACCTGGACAAACTTTTGTTGCTTTAGTTCACTGACCTTGGAGGGAGGGAAGGGTATTGTTTTGATAAATAATAAAATAAATAAGAAATTTGTCGTTAGCTAAACATATCAGCTTAGGCTTTGGATTTAGGAGTGTTTGACTTTCTCTTCTCTGCATATTCTTTGTTTTCTTTGAATGGCGATTAGTGTCGAGTGACTCGTAACCCTTAATGTGCCTTAATTGTGATCCTTTAAGTGTTACATATGATGTGCTTTATATTATAAAGATTCCATTAACTCTTCTTGAATTGTTTCCTTAATGATTTTGATGTATGCATGAGCAGTGTTGGGAAGTAGCGCGCTACAAGTAGCGACGCTACAGTAGCGCGCTACTTTTTTTGTAGCGTTAGCTGTAGCTACGCTACTTTTAAGATTTTGTAGCTTTAGCTGTAGCTAGCTACATTTTTAAGGTAGTTGTAGCGGAATTTTAGCTACTTTTCTCGCTACATTATCATTGTTTGAGATAGTGATTTTTATCATAACCTCAACCTTACGTGAAACAACCTCTTTCAAACTGAGATTTAAAAAAAAATTAGGCCTTACTTTCTTGGCTTCATACAGCTGGTTGCAGCCGTTTCATTCCCTATTACAACGTTGTGTGGACATGGAGGCCATTAAATGAGTGTTATCCACATTTTTGGCTCTCATTTCCTTAATTTACTACTCTATGATTACTGTCAGATAAAATAAAATCGCTAGATGCAGACGACGTTTAAACGTTACCGGTGACAAGAGAAGCTATTAAATGCTTGCAAGTGATTGACAGGGAAATTAGTAATCAAATTAGTTTCTTTATTATACCGATAGTGTTTCAACTTGGATTTTAATGGAAACCAACACTAAACCTTAAAATAATGAGAAATCTGGTCTATCAACCTTTGCTTCAGCTGTTGATTGTGGTTCATCGTCACAAGCCCTTCCTTGGTTAGATTACGAAGATTTTTCAAAGGTTTACTAAATTAACAAAGAGGAAATTACCTGATGTGATTTAAGATATGTAGGCCTATAGACTAAATGATAATTGTAACGAAAAAATCTCCATATAACATGAAACTTACATTGAAAAAAATAGCATAGTTTGCTCCTGGTAACAGCTCTTGTATAGGACTATTAATTTCTAGGCTATGCTATGGTTTAAGACGAATACCAAGTCCCAAGTTCAATTATTAGGAATATATCTGTTTAGTCCTTGCAAGAACAAGCCTACTATAGCCAACTTGTTACATAGCCAAGTAGGCCTACATGTTATTTTTACTTTACAAATTTCAACATGTTTAAATTAAAAGCCGATTTCAGGATAAGTTAATGGATACTGTTTTCTGTACCAACTAGGTTGAAGCACAATTTGCCCTATGCATAATGACAATAAAGGACGATTTCTTGACATTGAAAAGTGTTATTCATAGTACAAGTAACTTATCACTTAAAAGTTTATAGCAATGTCGTTTTTAACATTAAAAGAAAGGCAATAAACTCCAATTTCAGTAGGCTAGGCTCTGTAACACAAAAAATTATTTTTAAATAATCGTTTTACAGTTTTATTGATCTTAATTGTTGATATAAGACATCTATGAATGAATCTATATTAAAGAAATAAAATGAGCTTTTAAAATATAGTTTGGTTGTATGTCCTTTGAACTTACTGAAATTTACATTTAAGATGCTTAAAAATAATGCAATATTTAAAAATAAGTACTAAATATGATGGGACACCGAACTATTTGGTTCTGTTGTTGTAATGTTAGGTTTATAATGCCAAAAAATTAAATACAATCTAGGAATAATTTGTTTTCCAATTAATGTTAGATACAATACCTACTGACATTTTTTTAATGTTTGTTCAGTAAAAATGTAGTTGCAATTAATTTTACATTTACCTAATGTGCGTGGAATAAAAAGTAACGTCTTTGGAAAAGTAGCTAAAATTGTAGCTGTAGCTACATTTCAATGTAGCTGTAGTTGTAGCTAGCTACTTTTGCGGAACTGTAGCTGTAGCTGTAGCTAAGCTACTTTTTTGGAAATGTAGCAGTAGTTGTAGCTAGCTACATTTTAAAAGTAGCTTCCCCAACACTGTGCATGAGGTACTCTATGACATTCATATGTAAACATCTTACTTACATACTTAAATTAAGTTCTGCAATCTTACATTCTAATGCCACAAGGATATAATCTTAATCACTATTGAGTATTTTCAAAATGTTGAAAAATATTTGCTAAGGTTTTTGGTGCTGACATTGAGGGTTGAATTGAAATCTTGACTTGCATCAAACTTCACATGTCGTTCATTGTTATTTGATTGCTCAGTTTGTGAATTGAGGATAAGAGAAGTAAGTTAAAAAAGATATGAAACTAGTAAAACATTACAATGGTAACTGTTATAACTCTGTAAAACATATTATTTATTCAATTTTAAACATTTTAGACCCACACATATCAACAGCTAGTCAAGAGGTTAATCAGTAATCTTTCACTTAGATCATTTTATTTTTCAATCATCATCATTTGACTTTGCCTCAAGCAAGATTCTTTGGTGTGTTGTAGTCGTGTTTAGGAAACATTAGACTCTTGTTCAGATACATTTGGTACATATTCCAGACTCATACACTTATTCAAACGTACAACCTTGTTTATAGCTACATATACAAATAAGTCTTAGACCATTTGAGTATAAAATTTTCATCCTTGTTTTCTGATATTATTTAGTATAATTCTACTATTTTACTAAAGAGTCTCTTGTTTGGTTCGCAGGCAAGTCTCAGCTTGCCGGGGTCACCGTTCAATCCACGCCGAGGGTCGCGCGGCTCTCACCAGTTCACGCTGCGCAATGGGAGAACGAGATTCATGGGCGGACCGCCTGGTGGAGATCGGAAGCCTCTTGTATTGTCTACGTATTTGGACGCACAGGTACCTCTTTTTACCTTGCACAATAGTCTTTCAGTAATCCAACATATATGACATCAAGATCTCGTCAGATTATATACGATTGAAGAATTCTAAACTTATCATAAAAATTACTCAAACAACCACCTTAGCTGAGAAATGAAAATATTTAAAATGTGTTTTGTATGATTTTAAACTCCAAAGGCATTTTCAAAGTTTTTTCTAAGGGAACCGGTCCAAACCTTGCCCTTATTATTATCTAATGTTTCATTTTTGTGTCTAGGTACATATAGATAATCTGTAAATGTTTTATGTATGGATTTAATTTTGACAATGCACCTATTCTAAATGTTGACATGTATGGAATGTTTTGTGCAAATAAAGTATGTCTATGTCTATGTCAAGTTTCTCCGAGGGAGAGTGGGTAACGCTTTCCTCAGAAGCCCTTGCACTATGCAAATGACACCATACCACTCCTAGTTTGTGATACTGTCGTTCTAACTGAGAAACAGTGTGGTTGAGTGTGTTCCACTTTTCTCAGGAGCATTTGCCTTATGCTGACGACTCAAATGCGGTGACGCCCATGTCGGAGGAGAACGGCGCAATCGTTGTGCCGATGTACTACGCCAACCTGGGCAGTCGCCACTCGTCGTACACGTCACACGCGTCGCGGCTCAGCTATACGTCACACGCAGACCTGCTGTCCGGGCCTCGCGCGCCAACCAAGGAGAGCAGACTGCGGAGTCGTAGCAGTCGCAACAGCACCAGCACAGTCACGCACCAACCCTACTCCGACAAACACTACAGAGACTTTGTAAGTAGATCACCTCAAGTTGTAAAGTTTGTATACATTCAATTCAAATTACTTTCACTAACTCCGTGGAGATAGGTTATCCTCTAGTCCTGTGGCATGTGCTAGAAAGTCTTTTAGCGAATTTCCCATATAGGGAATATAGGGAATAAGCTATTACCGTAGTACTCACGGTAAGACCTGGACCCGGGACAAATTTTTTTTTTCGTTTTGAGGTCCCTAGAGGCCAAAAACACCATCCGTTCAAATTCATATATATATATGTATATATATATTTATATATATATATGTGTCCGTTAGCGCGATAACTCGAGCAAAAATGATCCGATTTTGATGAAATTTGGTACAAACGTGTAAACATACGTTTATTCGAACGAGTTCGCAAACCAGCATGATCGGACCATAGGAACGGGGGTTTATGGGGGCTTTTATGGGGTAAAAATGGGTTTTTCCCATTTTTGACCTAAAAAACATAAAATTTTGCAATTTCTTTCTAAACTATTTTGTAGAGCTTAAAAAAACAAATTATTTAGTATATTGAAGAGTTATAATGTGCCTAATGGTTACGGAGAAAATTCCAAAAAATTGTAAATTTAAAATTTCCATGTTATTCTTATGGAGAATAAGTAAACTGTTGTAGTTTGCTTGTTTATAAACATATTTTGACCAATTTGGAAAATGTTTTTATTTCTTACTAACTATTAACATTTTACATAAAAAACACTTTTACCCTCCCTGTTGCAGCAAACCTATGTGTAAAACTGATTCTATTTAAATAGGGAATAAATGTGATATTTTTAAGGAGACATTTTAGTGTAAATCCATTCAGGGAAATGGAAATTCGCTAGTCTGCAGGTTTGCTGCGGCGGGGGTATTTATCTTTTTTTGCAAGGATAAATTTATTTATATTCTATTATAAATAATTGTCTTCGGGAAGTGATTGAAAAATATACTTTTGGTCTCACTGAAAAAACAATCCAAGTGGTTGCTTTCCCTAACATCAATTGCTGCAATGTATTTGAAATGTCGGCCAGTATTTCCGCTAGACAACACGGTTACCTTTTATAGACTAAGAAATTAGTCTAACTTGACTGTGAAAGTCTACATTCTGGTTTAAATAGTTATATTTCTGAGTAAAGATTCATCTTATTTTCAATAGCTGATAAAGATAATTTTATACAGGTTTTTCCTAAAGGTGTGTGATGATTTTTTTTTTCAGGATGCCTCGGTGGATTTGGAGGATGGAATGTCCAAAAGTAAACACCAAGACAATCCTTTCATTGAACCCACCCAGCAACAGACTGTCGTAGACATGAAAGGTAATCATGAGATGAGAATTATATTTTAATTTTAGTATTGTTTATTTTAACTAATGTTAAGTTATTTCCTTTTTCTAAAAGACACCAGTTTAAGATTTTATATGGCAAAATTTCTTTTGGGAAGATCTTTTGACTTATTTACATAAATGAGATCTCTAAACTAATTATTAAAATAATTCAATTACCAACTGTAAAGTAAGAACTATCAATATTATTCCTCAATAATTTATCTGTGTATTGAAACCCCCACCCTTCACTTTGGATCTTAGCGTATAGTAAAATGTCATAATGTAAAAAACGTTTTACATTTTTATAACACCAATCGGAAGATGTTTTATCACATTGCTGTGTCGTTACTTGAGCATCTAACAAATGTAAACTGAATATATATTGATGTTTAACTTGTTTTCTTCTCCAGATGTGATGGTTTTGAATGACATCATAGAGCAAGCAGCAGGGCGACACAGCAGAGCGAGTGGCGAGCATGGAGGTATTTGAAAACATTCTCTATGTAACACCGTAGGAAAGCATCAGTCAATGATTTGTATGAATACCAATCAAAAATGAACAAAAGAAGTGAATTTGAATCATAGTAAAATCTGACATTTAAAAAATAATTTGTTTCTAACTTTTTTTTTATTTCTTGATATAGGCCTACTTCATTCTTGAATAACCTATGAGAAAATATATTATTTATCAAATATTTGATCAGCCAGTGTAAACATTACTAGAAACTCACCTTTTGATAATCAATCAGAGTTTAGGACCTGGTAATTGTACAATGATTTTATAAGTTGAGTTTGTCAGATTCCCTGGCTAATGATAATAAGATCCAGAATTGGTCAGTAATATACACTAAATATAAGTGTACTAATTTTTACATTTTGTTAGCTCCGTCACATATTTTAGAGATTTAAGTTTTCAAAAGCTCTGCTGTTGAATTCTATCTACCATAAATTTATTTGGATTTTTTAAATGAACTTGTACAGTTATTTTTTTAAGATTTTTTTTTTTTCTCTTTGCCATGACTTTTGTTCAACAGTCCTTTTTTATGATAGTATCTCGAGTTAAAAACTTAGTTAACAGCCACTTAATATTCTTTTTAAATAATTTTGTACTGTATATTTTAATCAGTTTTGTTAGATTTGTTTGTTTTGTTGTTGTATGTTTTGCATGTATCCCTGTGGTTCCAGTTGTGTAGGATAATATATGTGTATTATGTGTATATTGTATGCGTCTGGTTTGTGTGTCAATGTTTCACAGTGTATTTAGCTTTCAAAACCACAACTTTTAGCAGAAAACAACAAAACAATCTACATAAAAATCTATTAAAACATACCTTTTTTTATGACAACATACGTTTTCTTAACGTATGGAACAAAGTATTAGGTTTTGTATAAAATTAATAGTTGATTTCCACAAAACTCAAATTTTGTTACTAATTTATCAATAAAAAATAGATGAATATAAAAACAGAGGACTTAGGATGTTGCTTTAACTGTCTGCTATTGTCATAACATTTTCAAATTTCATTTGGCTTTAAGGAAGTGCCCGCTTCTTCTTTGCCAAGGTTCTTTCTTCTATTCCTGTCTGTTACTGTAACTGCTGTGACGATTGCTTTCTGTTTCTCACATTTGAGACAGGCTATCAACAATGAAACTACCTAAGTCAAATAAATGTTTCTTGTTGATGGCTTATGTCAATGCTTACCTATCTTGAGATTTCTGGTAAGTCGTAGGAAAGAAGCCGTGTGATAAAGTGAGTGAGAGAGGAATAAACAGCTTGCTCAGAGCATGATATATATTTATGCATGTGTTTTCATTCTTGTACGTTTGTTGAGGAAAACGCATAAGCATTCACTTGACCAGTCGTACTTCTTATTGAAAAGTTTCTTTCTATTGAAAAATTGTTTTGAATCATTTTATGCTATTACAGTTCAGAGAAACTTACTGGAACAATATTATTTACCTTCAATATGAGAACAATAAACAAATTGAGAACATGAAAACTTAACTTATGCAAACAATTTACTACACACTATAAAAGTTGTATAAAGTTTTATGCTTGTGAAATTGTAGACGTAGACTAAAACCTTAGCTCAAACCTAGTACTGCATGATGAATCCACGATTGAAAGTTTTGAATGCATGTTATTTTTTTTTTTTTCTAATACTAGTGATTCTAGTTGTTTTCTTTTTGATTGGATTGAGTGTGTTTTATACTTAAGTTTTAACTTTCATTAATAGTTTTAATCAGTATTGAATTCTCTATTTCATTTTTAAATAACCAAACTATCCCCGCATACTAATCAAAAATACATGTTATTAATATATTTGCATGCATAGACAAAAAATTTGAATAAATAGAAAATAAAACTTATAAAAACTATTACAAGAACTAATTTGTCTTGCAAGAGCTTTGGACCAGATATTTTATTTTTGAGAACATTTTATTCTTATTGATTTTTTTGTTATTGTAAAGATTTTAAGCCCAATTTTTAGTTTAGAAAAATAAAAATATTTTAAATTTCAACACTTTTAGTGCTTAGAACCTCAAAATATATGCCTGTGCAAACTGGGATTTTCAAATCATATTATTGTAAGAGACTTGATGCTGTCACAAATGTCAACAGAAAAAAGTTGAGATCCAAAAGATAGTTTGTAAATGCATGAAATATTTAAATTTTGTTTGTTGGTTTATCTCTTTGATATCCGAATGTACAGTCACTATAACACTTGAACTTATTTGATCAATTCATATATGTCTTTGATCTTTACTGTATTTAAACTAGCCATAACAATGAAACAAAAATTTAAATTTCATTAAAATGTGTGATTTAAAATTCTTGTCAAACCCCAAACTTTGTGAGCTAAACCAATTTTAACAACAAATTTACGGAGAATGATGATGATGTTTTTTATAGAAATATTCATGACGTATATGTTGTTTTTGTTTCTCTACTGTGCATATTATTACTGATAATAGTTAAAGTGCAGTATTTAGGCTCTACATTTTTATTTTGGAAGATCAAAGTTCTAACTCTACCAATCACTGTTGGCAATTTCCCATTTGAGAAAAGTAGTTAATTTTACTACGTTTAGTATACTGATGTTTGATTTTCTATACAGTTGGCCATCGTGCAAAGAATTAGAGTAATTTAGTCAGTCTTGTTTCATGGCTTGGAAATTGTGTTGTTAAAAATGTCTTTGATTAAGGTAATGTTGCTACACTTGAATATTCTCATTATTTTTTTTCTTATGAGTTGTCATTTGTATAACTCATCACCATATCATGATAAGTTTCCCTAGTGAAATAATGGCAATATACTGTAATAGCTATAACCACTTACAGTGTTTTGCCATTTCGCTTTTCATCAGCAGAGCTTTTTGGGCTAGCAAAGATGGCACTGCTTTTAGCTGGCTTTGCTTTATTAGCTTTAGATCATCAATCAATATATTTTTCTTGACTTGGCCTGTTTGTAACTGTGATAAAATATCTGTTTTCACTACATTACTGTGAAATCACCTGTTTTTGTTATGTTTATCACTTACGAAAACTCATTATTACATTGTTCACTGCAAAAGTAATGTTTACTATCTTTTTTTGGATTTTGTCGACATAAACAAACAAACATTACTTATTTCTCATCAACTTTTTCAATTAGAACCCAAACTGTACAATCAAAGTAAATAAATAAAGTAAAAATAGAAGGACTAACTTAAAAAATGCCACTAGAACATACACACTTAGAACATACACACTTAGAACATGAGTGATATTGAAAAATAAAACTTTCATAATTCTTTTGTAAAAATAATACTGACAGTATTGTATTACATATAGCAGTTAAAATTGTTAGATATTCAAAGAAAATATTTATGTAAACTTACTTGGCCAAGTCAGGGGAAAATGTACTTTGAACTGTAAATGGCTTCATCACTTCTTATTGTAGCTAAAATTATTTAACAAAATATAGTAACTTTTAAACAAAACATAAAGTAATCATTAGTCAAGTAGTTGCCATCTTTGCTGAATTCACTATCTCTCTAAAAGTTAGATTTAGTTAGTTATTTTTACGATATTGGGGATAACTCATTTTAAGGAATGAAAATGGTGCTATTTTATTTTATGAATCTCGGTTTTATATGTCAAGATTTATCTGTTGAAGATTGGGATAAGTTAAAATAATTTTGTTATTAATAAGAATAAGTTCATAGCTTCTGTTTTAAATATGCTTACTTTGCTATTCCTGTTCTTTCATTCAAATGGGCTAAACAAATTCCTTAACAGTTTACCAATATTGTAAAAAGATAAATAACTGTACATAAAACATGTTTAAACATCACTAAAACTACTTATAACTTCTCTTTACTTCTGGTAACACTTATAAATACGCTTTTCACTTATTTTCTCTATTCAATTATGGTCTAGCTGATTTACACTTACACTGCAAGAGTTTCTTAGCTTAGCCACTTGCTTATCGGTTTTTGCGAGTTCGTATTTAAACTCCTTCAAATTTCTATCTCCAGTTTGAAATTTTCATACAATCTTGTCACCGCAAAAATATATTTGAAAAAACCTTAAATTTTGTCAAATATACCACTTTACCATTTTTTGGGAAGTTTTTCGATTCACACACTGTACACTTTCCATTTCATCTGCACTGTTCACTTTGAGTAAGCTGTTTGTTTGTTGCGTGTGCGTGCTCGTCGCGTCGTGTAGGTACAGTAGCCATCTACTATTTCCCGACAGAGGACGACGAGGAAGGCCCGACCATGAAGGAGAAGCTGATCAGCAACTGTCTGCGGATGATTGACGTTTTCTGCGTGTGGGACTGCTGCTGGCTGTGGCTCAAGTTCCAGGAGTACGTAGCGCTCATCGTGTTTGACCCGTTCGTCGAACTGTTCATCACGCTGTGTATCGTCGTCAACACGCTGTTCATGGCGTTGGACCACCACGATATGAACAAAGATATGGAGAAGGCGCTGAAGAGCGGAAACTATGTGAGTAGCTGAGTGATGCTGTTTGTAATTTTTTTCCCTGTACTGTCTAACCTAAAAATTACACTTGATGGGTTCTAGTAGTAGGGATAGTTAATGAATTTCCCTATAGGAAATTAGCCATTATATCTTCCTTGGTGGACAGCCAAAGTCTGGCACTGCAGTGATTTTCTTGTTTTAGAATCCATCTTACAGTATTAAGGACTGATTTGGTTTCTGATTTACTGTTTCATTAACATATAACACATTTCCTTACTTCATTACTAATTTTCATTCTTTTATATTATATATTTGTGTTAACGATTTGATCTTCTTTTTATGAATTAAAAGATTTTACAATACTAAAGTAATTTAAAATTTAAATGCCTTTAGGTATTTGGTGAAAATATATTTGTAAACAAAAAAAACTAGCTTAATTATTTACATACAAGAATTATCACCTGAAGGAGTACTGAAAAAGTACAATTCTTTTTGTAATATTTAACTCTAGGGTATATTTATTAAGATACTGAAATTTCATTGAGTCACTTTGTACAGTTCTTCAGCGCAACTTTTGGAATTGAAGCAGCAATGAAGCTGATAGCGATGAGCCCCAAATACTACTTCCAAGAGGGCTGGAACATCTTTGACTTCATCATCGTAGCTTTGTCACTGCTCGAGCTGAGTTTAGAGGGGGTCCAGGGATTGTCAGTTTTACGATCCTTCAGATTGGTGAGTCATTCTAGAGTTTCCTTCTTTAATAATCTTTTAGAATAAAACTGTTTATTGAATGATGCTGATTTGGATGGGCTTTACCAAAATAATTAATTACATTTTCAAAATCTATTTAATTAAGGGACAAATATCATCAATTGGTTAAACATCAACATAAATAACTAGCATACAAGAAACTAACTCCGTCAAGCTAATCATATGCAAAACTCTTGACAAGTATTTTTACAACTGTTCTTTACAGTGTTTCCAAGTAATTTTTTTGTTTTTTTTTTTTGCCTAAGGCCACAAGATAATAGTCATAATGTAGGTTTAAAATAGTAAAATACCAATAACAGATCAGCCCACCTAGCGTTAGAATCATTTCAGTGACGCCAGTTTAAGCATTGGTTCAGCACATTGGTCAAAATTAATGTGTTATAGCCCAACTCATAGCTTCTGAGATCAAAAGTTGAAATCATCATTCAATTATTGATGTTAGCATGTAAAATATAGAGAGTTACTCTGTCTACAGAACAGCTGTTGATTAACACCCAAAACACCAAAAAAAAACTTTCCTGGTATTGTTCAATACAAACTTTAGTTTAGGTTAAAAAAATAAATGGTTTTGTTCAGGATTCTAGGCCAAGGCACTAAAGGTTTTAGAGAGATTTTCCTCTCATAAGTGTATTTTCTATTTTATAATATTGTAATGTTGCGTTTATATAAGGGATGTGTCGATTCTCGATACCTAGCCTTGATTCCACAAACTTTTGACATTGGTATAGGGATGAAGAATTGATCGCCGTTTCCGATAACCAATAGGTCTGCAAAGATCATGCAATCAAAAAATGTGCGCTTATTCGCTATATTTATTTTAATTTCATGTGACAGCTGAGAGTGTTCAAGCTGGCCAAGTCGTGGCCGACGCTCAACTTGCTCATCTCCATCATGGGCAGGACCGTGGGTGCCTTGGGTAACCTGACCTTTGTGTTGTGCATTATCATCTTCATCTTTGCCGTCATGGGCATGCAGCTATTTGGCAAGAACTATGTCGGTAAGTGATGAGTATGTTTCACATTGTTGTAACTTGTCGCTGGAAAATTTCTCTACAATCCCAAGTCGTAGAGTTAAAGTAGTAGTTATGAAATTTAATCTCTAAATTAAGTTACCTGAAATTAATTTTTTGGCATTGTTTCACTGAAGATAGATTGATATATAGATTAGATCATCAATGTAAACAGTTATTGACATATCTATCCATGTATGTTCCAAATGGGGGGTTCATTTACTACTAATACTGTTTTTAAAAGCTTTGTAAACTCAAACACTTTCAAAATAATGAATTCCTTCTAAAATTTCCTTAAATTAGTACTGTAGTATGTTAATTTTATACCTCTCTAATTTTACATATTTAAAAATTAGTTAATAGGGTCAAATGTGAACTCTGTAATTAAAATAGCATTTTCATTTAACAATAATATCATTTTAATTAGTGGCCACTTGTTAAAATAAATAGTTTATATTGAAACCTGTCTGTCAGTGATTCTATTGTCGTCCATGGCGGCCGGTTTTGAGATTAAAATATCATCATCAGGCAGTAAAAAATGTCATGAAATGAAATGATAGACATCAATAGGATCACTGACTAATCAAACTACGCCCATCATTAAACGCTAATATTGTTATAAATCATTTATAACAGTAATAGTGCACGTCTCTAATGATGCAAAGTAGAACTACATACAGTTCATATATTTCCCTTCCAAATTCTAACCTTAACTGTTTTCCGCAGATCACGTGGACAGGTTTCCTGGAGGAGAACTGCCGAGATGGAACTTCACAGACTTCATGCATTCGTTTATGATCGTGTTCCGGGTGTTGTGCGGAGAGTGGATAGAATCGATGTGGGACTGTATGTATGTGGGGGACGTCTCCTGCATTCCGTTCTTCCTGGCAACAGTTGTCATCGGCAACTTGGTCGTAAGTATCAAAGATGTATAGTAGTTCAAATCAAAACGACGTTATTCATCTCTTGTACATGGAAAGACATTGAATAGTGTCAACAGTTGCATGTAATAGTTATTAAATACATTTCTTACATAGAAAAAGAAAATTTCACAAACTTAAATTTTTGGATAATAAAACAAAGTAAAGCCAAACACAATGAAAACAATTGTACACTAAAACTGAACACACTAAAACAAAAAATACATATCTTGAATTTATTTTTAACACTCAAAGACTATTCAACTATTCAAAATAATAAATATCCTTGCTGATTAGATATTTTTAAAATTTATTTTTTAATATTGTTTCTTTATATAATAACTGTTTCCTTATTGACTAAAATGAATCTCTACATAATTTTACCGATCCACTTTCCTACTTGAGAATCCCCGTCACTATTGTCCGTTGCGCAGGTTTTGAACCTTTTCTTGGCCCTGTTGCTGTCCAACTTCGGTTCGTCTTCACTCTCCGCCCCCGCCGCTGACACGGAGACCAACAAGATCGCAGAAGCGTTTGACCGCATCGGTCGGTTCAGCACTTGGGTGAAACACAGCATGCTCAACTTTGCCAAGGTTATCCGAGCCAAGTTGACCAACCAGATTGCAGACCAGACAACAGGTGAGGGGCCTGCCCCCAGCTGGAAGCAAGGTTTATATATCTTCTCTCTCGTACTTATACCACCCGGTAGCCATCAGGTAGCATTGACTTCCACCCGCAGTTGGACAGTAATCCTTAAAATGTATTTGTAAGTCCATAGATAGTTTTTAAAATTCTTGATTCGAAAGATTTTGTGATGGTTTCTGTGTTGGTTTAGTAGTATAATTAGAATAGAACGCTAGAGTTTTTTTTTTTTTTTAATTGTCTATGCCAGTAGTATTTTAAAGATATATAACTAACGTTATGAGACAGCGGTCCAAACCTCTAAATTTTTTGTGGATATCTAAGGGATTGAACCTGTATTTTTTGTAGCAAAATTTAGAATTACTATCACTACTACAACATATCGTAAGATTAAATTACTTATGTAATTCCCCACACAGATCAACAATAATTTATTGTTGAGCTTTGCGGAATTGCGGGAATTGTGTAAGTAATTTAGTCTTACATTATGCCCAACAGCTAGAAACATGAATTTTAATTACAGCATATCCACCAAGATATTGGTTCATTTAATGAAATATTCATTGAAATGGTCATAAAAAGTGGTATTCTAGGTTACTTCTTAGCAATTAAAATCATCCAACAGTTAAAAAATTCTGCCAACAGTTTGAAAGTTCAAATTTTCTTTAACCATGTTAACAATAATAAATTTAGTATGCCGTTAGTTGAAACTGTTTTACATTCCTTTATGCTTTCTAAAAGCATAAATAAACTATTTTATGCATTCTTTTCCAAAATTCATTTTAGTTTTGACTATAGATACAAAATAAAACTGTGAATTGGACATTCTATCTCCATGTTGAAGTTTTAACCACTTTTAGAATACAATTTCAACTGAGCCCCTAATCAAATTTTCTTTTATAAAATAGTTTTTCTCTCTTATAAAAACTAACTACACTAACTGTTAAACCCCTCACATAATGCATGGCTATTTTATTGTGCATTAACCCCAGCAACCATCATATTCTCATTCTTACTCCTGTGGCCACATAGATCTCAAGTTATTGTATGCCTAACGAACAATTTGCCTCCATTGCTGTTTCTGTTCGGCAACTCCAAATTTGACCCTAAATTCAATTTTCTTAATTTCACGTTCACCATGCCACACGCAACTGTTACGTAACTTATGGATAGTAGAATCGTTCATAAGCCTTGAATTCCAAATGGTAGTTTCAGCAATAATAGTCTTCCTAAAACCTCTGCATCCCTGAAAGGCTCTGTAACTTTTTAATGTTCTTAGACTTTTATTACAACTATTCTAGTTTCAACTATGTCAAATTCAAAATCCAAATCATTATATCAAAACACCAATCCCCCTCTAAGGCGTAATGTTACAGAAAAATGTCAAACATACCTAGAGCCTTCATGATGAGGTCGCTAGGATAGTTGACACAAGTCGCACAACAATAAGCCATCTTTACTGTTACTAGTACTATAGTATGGATTTTTCCTCACATGGTCAACCCATCTATGTTGAATTCCTCTCAACAGCTCTTGCCCTGTTAGTTGCTCTGGCTAAATATCAACCACAGTATGAAAAGCAAAATAAAAAAAAAATAACCAATATCAGCACAACTATTTGAGGCTCAATAAAAGTGTTATTCTCTTTTATAAAAAAACTGGGTACAGCTGGTCCATGCATTGAATATCTTTTTCAATATCTAAAGTCAAAATGCTATTAACATTATCTTAAAGCACACCTTAATTGTTTGGAACACTTAAAACAAACTCTTCTCATCAGATGTAATCCAAGATGTTACCTGGTGGCTATCTCTTTTTATTTCGTAATATAGAGATATTTTACCACTTTCAAGCTGTCACTTATCTTTTGATAATGCATTATTGCTTCGCTTAGTATTTTGGCTGCAATTTGTCTAATTTGTTTTTACGTAGAGTTGGTTTGCTCTGAGAGTAAAACAGTTCTGAAAATGTGAAACCTTAAACCTTGTGAAACCTTTTTGCTGATTGTAACAATGAATGCACCTGAATGACTTGGCATTGTGGAAAGTATATAGAGAAAATATTAAATGCTTTCGTAATTCTCATAATAGTAAGAATTCGTTACTAAGATGCATAATTTCCATAGATCGACATGAACAGGTTTTTTTTGTAATGCTATTTCATCATATTTTCTACATTGTAATTATTAAACTTCGTCCAGTAAAAAATCGAAATAATGCAATATTTTGTGAGCAAAAATGTAGTCAAAAAATGGTTTGATATCCATCAATTGACATTGATTGCAAAACTTGTGTTTAAAAACTACTAATGATTGGTTGTCTATTGGAGATTTTCTGCATGGATTGTAATTTGAATGAAAACTTTGATTAACAAACTTTGCTTGGGATTGAGCATGACTAGTTTTCTATTTTTAATCGTTGATAGATTTACCTTGTTGAATGAAGAGAGAGAAAACTTCTAACTGCAGTGATAAAAACTTGTTTAGTGCATATTAAAGTCAATCAAGTTCCAGTTAATATGTATCTCTTCTTTCCCAATTGGTAAGACACATTTTCTTAGTTTTGAACTTAAACTTATTAATGGGAACATTATGTATGTTCTACCAAGATGACATGAGTTGTTATAATTATTTTAAACTTTTATAATTTCAAATTCTTAGAAATGTAGCTAAAAAGTAAAATCAAAAAGCTAACCTATAAATGAAATATAACTTATGAGAATCATTCTTTATTTATTTCCAATTTTTTCTAATCTAGGATATATTTTTGTAACTTTTATTTTCAAGGATACTAGATTTGCTTGTGTTTCACAAGCTATCTTTGAGTACAGTGCCTTATTTTAAAAAAGATACAATTTTGGGTTTTTGATCCAAGAAGGAAACATTAATCTCCTGTTTGACAGTTAAAAATTGTTTAAGGTAGTCTCTTCTTAACGAGGAATGAGTTTCTGCAATGAGGGTGAAATAAACTGGATAGCTGCAATGCAATTCCATAAAAAACAAACCTGACCTTACATCGGAAAAATATATGTAAAATGAAAACAGTGTAACGATTTCATACAAAAGTGACACATCCTGTACAATCTCTAGTAGTAATCGCACTTAGTGTAGTGGCAGTGTAGTCGTAAGGTTGGTAGTATTGACAGTTTTGTTGCCAGTGGGTGGCGGTCGTGGAGATCTGGACCTGGACTTGACCACGGATGAGATCCTAGCAGACGGGATGGTCTACAGAGACAAGAAAGATCAGCTGGAGGTAGCGATCGGAGACGGGATGGAGTTTACGATACATGGTGAATATCTAAACCCTTACATTGGTAGAGCTTTGTTGGAAGTGCAAAGGTGGTAAGAGTGAGTCTTCAGAACTTAAAAATCAGTTATGGCCTAGTCTTCTCCTATTTTAATCTAATAAAAATTACCACAAACGCAATTTTTTAATTGGTATGTATCATTTTAATTCATCGGGCTAAAGTTTAATATCCAACAATGGTAGCTAGATAGAATAATGTGATAATGGATAATAGATAGTATACTTTCTCCATGTAATTTAAGTATAAGTTTTCAACTACTATTTTGTTAACTAATTATTATATTTGCAACATAATCTAAAGATTATTCACTACTTACATCGATAAATAGAAAAGTTAGAAAACCTAAGACTCTGCCCAGCTAAATAAATTTTGAATGTATTTTTATACAGTCTTTTGCTATTACAATTATTATGTTTTTGATAGAAAAAAAAACTCTCAAAATGAATAAAAACTTTAAAAAATTACCAATGAATTAAATCATTTCCAGTTAAAATTCTACTTAAATTTTTGTTGTAAAATATTGTTGTCTTAAACTTATAAATGTATTCAAATTCTTTACTTTAATTTGGATCCACTTCTATATGTGTGTGGTCTCTTATTTCTTATGTCTTTTTCTGTGTGCTACAATCATTCAGCCTCTTAGGCTTAACAGCAGAAACAGTACTTTTATGTTCTACTGACTCTGGATTATTCTCCTATGCACTTCATGTACAATGGGCTCTACCTAGACTTTTGTTGATTTCAAAACCACCAGTTTTTTGTTTTTGTTTTAAAAGCTATGTGATAATTTTCTGTTTTTATCATTCATTAAAAATGTATTTATGATGTTGATGATGTTTTTTACTTTATTTATTATTCTGTTTCATTCCTCGTTCCAAAGTGTTAAAATCCCTAGTAAAAAAATCTTTTTAAGTGTGTAAAAAAACATTTCAAAAAAAGTGTGATAATCTAAATTATTTAGAAAAATACTTTTTATAAGTCCAAATTTTAGTGGAATTATTGATTGTAGTCTCAATAATTGAATTTTTATGCTACTTAAATCGATTTTATTTCATTGCTTGTCTTAGTGCAGTTTAAATTAAACTTTTCAACAATAATCCAACCAATCAGTCACAAAATCAAACCAATAATGGACATATTGCTCTAAAAGTATAATTTTTAAACTTATGAAATTATTTACAACCGAAATATGATGAAAATAAATAACATGGATCCACAAATGTAAAACACTATCTGATTAAACAAATATTTTTTGTTTCTTGGTTTTTGTTGGTCATTTTTGTTGTGTTTTTGTTTCAATTTTTGTTGTATCGTAGCTTGATGCATGTTGTGTCGTATCGGTGTTGACTGCCAGAGAGTTTGATGGGAATCGCTTGTTTTCTGCTTTCCCTCAAGGAGACCTTAAACCGAAGATTTATAAGGGCAAGAATCACATCGGCAACTCCATCGGCAACCATCAGGATAATCGGTTGGACGCTGAGTACATTAGGCATCGGCTGGACGAAGACACCATCAGGTAACACTCACATTTCACACATCTACCACATCGGAGACTTGCTACCAAAGAGTCATAGTAGTAATGTAATATAAATTTACAGTCTTATTTACTTTAACTTCCAATTCGTACAGAGAAAAGCTCACAACCTAATCATTGAAAGCTCTAAAATTAATGTATGTTTGGATTTGTCTCCTAACTGACTTGTTACTTAGCTCTAGCATAATCCAAAGCAAAAGTGGTAATTTTTTTATTCAAGTGTCCATCACAATTGACCACTGGTCTGTGAGGTCGCCGCCTAAAAAGAGTGAAGTACTGTTACGGTATAACTCACATGGGTAAGCCAGTGACTCAATGATAAAATAGTGCAGCTAGCATGTCAAGAGCCAGCCATTAGGATTAAGATGCTACTTAGCTACGTGATCAGTGTACAGTAGTTCTGAAACTACACTTTTATAAACAATGTTGTATTCCATATGACAAGAGTAGATGTATAAGTTTATTTTTTATTTTCCATAATACAAAGAGTTGCTGGTTTTATCTCAAACTAAATGTAAATAATTTCAGCAATAAATCATACGGAAGTCACAAACATCGACCTTTCAAAGACGAGAGCCACAAAGGAAGTATAGAAAGTATTGATGACCAAGAGGAGAAGAAGGACTCCAGCAAAGAAGACCTGGAACATGAGCCAGGTAATGGAAATGTTTATTGGAATTCAGAGAGTTCGGTATCCAAAATCATTAAAAGTACATACTAATTTATAGTGTTGATTGTCCCTTTTATGGTTGTTCACTTTCCTAATACCTAACAGGGCTAAGTCATGCCTTAGACTCCTTGTTTCTTTTACCCATTTAGATGTTTTATAGATATAGCCAAGGGACAAATTTACTTAAAACTTAAAGCCTGTTTACAAAAGATACGATTCTCCTCATATGACTTTTTGGAATGTATGTAAAACCGTATCCAACTGTGCCATAATGTAAGTTTGGTGAGCTCAAGGCAGTAATGTAGTGGGTTTGGATCCTGGTGACTACTACTAATTTTTATAATTACAGTTCACCCTTGTACTATATCGGCTCACCCCTTGCTTTGCTGGATACGTTCCACGCACAGGCTCATAGCCTATGTAGACGGGCAAATGCAACGTTAAAAGAGGCTGCCACCTCTAAAAAAAGTTTTTGCTTGCATAAGTCTCACACCATGTATTTTTTTATTTAAAAAGATCACACTTTTCATAAATCACAGGTTATTAAAAAAAAGTTAAATTATGTCTATAGTTTCTCCAGTGGGGATTACCATTCTGGATTTCAACATAAAAAATTATCCTTTTTTACTGTATGTACACATTTTTTCATGACATAGTTCAAAAAGGCAAATGGAAATTGAATACATTGTGACTGGATCAACTATGTTGTTTGACGTTATGGCTTTTCACTCTTACCTCCTGATAAAACCTCCAATTGTCATTCTGTTTGTATGGTTTTACAGATGTCGAGGAGGAAGAATTGGTGATTGACGCAGGTACAGAGGAAGCCTCGGACTACCCAGCGGACTGTTGCCCAGACGACTGTTACAGAAGGTTCCCGTTCCTGGCTGGTGACGACGACGCTCCCTTCTGGCAGGGCTGGGCCAACCTCCGTCTCAAGACTTTTCAGCTTATCGAGAATAAATACTTTGAGACTGCCGTCATCACTATGATTCTTCTCAGCAGTTTGGCGCTGGTAATTTGTGTTATTTTTTGTTTTCAGTTTATTTTTTATTAGTTTGAAGCCCAAATTGAGTAATGAGAAAAATAAAATCATCCTCACGAAAATCATTTTAATGAGTGGGTTAGTGATGGACGAGACTAGGATGTGACTAGGATCCTAGGATGTGAAAGTACATCAAAACTTTTTGTTTTTACCAATTGTAATAAAATAAAAATGTGAAATGTTCCTCAGGCTCTGGAGGATGTGAACCTACCATCTCGTCCAATCCTCCAGGACATCCTGTATTACATGGACAGGATATTCACAGTCATCTTCTTCCTGGAGATGTTAATCAAGTGGTTGGCCCTCGGGTTTGCCAAGTACTTTACAAACGCCTGGTGCTGGCTCGACTTTGTTATTGTCATGGTGAGATCCTCAAATATTATTTTAGTTTAGTATTTTTTTTTAAGTTTTGGACTCTAATCAAAATACAATGTAGTTTGGTTTCATAATCTAACACCCAATACAAATAACTTTATGTCAAACGTGTGACATGTGCATGGATTTTTGTTGGTTCTACCAATCCTACTAACTCTTTAACATGTTTTGTAAACTTAGTGAAGAGTGGGGAAAATTACAGTTCATTGTTTAGTTTTCTAGTCAGTCATATTCTTGTTTAAAGATTATGTTTATTAGGAACCTGTTTCTGTGAAAGAGTCAAGAAAATATATTCTCTTCCTGCTACCAAATTTTGTTAGCTAAGCTATTTTGATGATCTATAAATTTGGTTTACTCAGACCAGAAATGTTTTTGCAATTGACAAATAAATCTAAAATTTTTTTATTTGTTAATGAGTATACAAGGAACAGATTAATCACTGAAACCATCACATCAACATAGTTTAAACCATTTAAGTTCAATATTGTCATCTTTCTAAGTTACCTTTGACCTTGGTTTCTATGCTACCACTGATAGTTGTACATCAGTTAGTTCTGATGATAGATCTGATAGTTGTATGTTAGCTGTGTTGTTAAAGTTCTCCTTAGTAATCAGGTCACCGTCTTGATCTTGAGCTTAGTCTCTAGCCTTTTAATAGTTTGGATTCAAAAACTCAGATGTTTTTGATCAAAGAGTTTTGAACAAATAACAATATTTCTGGGTAGAGAAACCGCTGGTTTAGGTCAGTAGCAAAGCTGCAAAAGGCATCGTCTATATTCATCTTTTAATTGCATTTGAGTTTAATTAAACAAACCTTAGTGAACTCAAAGAATGTTGTGATGTACTATATTTGAGCACATACTATGTTTTGAATACTAGTCTAGAATAAATCATAGTTAGAACTCAGTGAATAAATTATGAAGTTGTATTGTTTTTAATTTTCTTTATTACTGTTCATTAGGAACTGTACTAACCTGCCTTAGCTTTACTATTTATATTCTCCTCGCATAGGTCTAAGGCACATGTGTATGGGTAAAGGTCAAACCCAAGGTTGAAATTGAACATTTTCTCAAACCAAGCTTAGTCAAACGTAGGCATGGTTTACCAGATTTAACCTGTGTGTTATTGTAGCTCTCTCTGATAAACCTGATAGCCAGTCTGGCAGGGGCTGCTACAATACCTGCATTCAAGTCCATGCGCACACTGCGCGCCCTGCGTCCATTGCGCGCAGTGTCGCGCTGGGAAGGCATGCGAGTAAGTACGCGACCGCGCACACTATGTGTCTTTGCAGGTGGAGCGTTGCGTCTCGTGCGTTGCGTCAGTGTTCGGTCAATGTTGTGTACATAACTTTGTTCACCGCTGATGTTTGCTACCATTGGCAATGTGGAGAGTGGACAAAATATTAATTGTTTCAGTAACGTAATTAAAGAAACATTAGTAGCTCTTATGGAAGTGAGCTTTAGTATTTTAGTTTAGTTCAATGAACTACAAACTATGTTTCCCCCTATCAGTGGTAGCTGATGTCAGTGGTCATACACATTATAACTTTCTTCAAATCTCTTTCCAGCTTCAACATTGATCAGTCTTCGTGAGCTGTAGCAGTGATCAGTGTGCTACTCCACTCCCTTCCCACACCCATCCTCCTTCTGTCTTTAGTTTACACTGTCATGGTCATCTTCAGTTGTTTTCTTAACAGTTGAATCTTTTCCTATTGAACTATTTGAACATTTGTACTCTGTCCTTAACGTAAACTAAAAATCTGCTTTTTTATTCTTTAAAGTCGATTCTATGATACTAAAATAATTTAAACTAAACATGCCTAAAGATTTCACACTATTCATCGGCCAATTTAACATTTACCTAAGTTTTACCACATAATTTATCCTGAACTAAAAAAAAAACTAAACATTAGGTAAATTTTCTAAATAAAAAATTTCACATCTAATATTATATTGACAAACCGCGGACACAACTCATAAGCATGACTCAATGAGAAGATTTTATTTCACCTGGATCTCTTTTACTAGATCGATGTTTTAACTCTTGTAGCGTTGGTGGCTCATCCAATCTAGCCTCTCAGCTGTAGACTCTCTAAATTGTCATACAAGGCTTTCTACACTGCAGAGATTTAAGTCAATAAAACAAAATATCGTCAAAAAAATGTATCTACAATTAATTGTAAAAAAAAAACTTATACATTCTTCTTATAAATAAACCATCTCTATACAACATTGATAATCATTTTCACACAAAACTCTAAATCCTTTCCTCTTGTTTCCCTAGCTTCCCGATGCTTTGTGAAATGTGTATTTTGTGGTGAGTGTTTGTTTTTCTGTCACTTTAGGTGTCCCTCATAAACTTCGTTGCCTCTTTATTGGGGGCCGGCGGTATTCAAGCGTTCAAAACAATGCGAACGTTACGAGCCCTGAGGCCCCTTAGGGCTATGTCTCGGATGCAAGGGATGCGGGTACGTCGCGGACCCCGTAGTAGCTTCTAGAGCCCTTCGGAAGTAGTGCACGCAATCCACACACACCACATGCCCGTCTTGCCACTGTGTTAAAACTAAATTATCTGTAACTCCCATCTTCACATCAATGTCATCTAATTGTTTAATTTAAAAATTTATATTACATATTTGTTTTAAGCGTTGATGTTTTATGTGTAAACTAAAACTAAAAAGTACAAACCAGAAATTTCAACTAGAAAAAATACAAAACCAATAACCATACATATTTTTTTATATTTCAAAAATATTATCAATTTTTCACAGTGGCAAAAACATTTTTAGATACATTAGTGCACTTTTAGTTCTACCCTTTTTTATTTTATTTTTTACATTTTAATAGTTTTCACAATAAACATTTCTACCAATTTTCACAGTAGCAACATTATTTTATATACATTAGTGCACCTTTGGTTTACTGATTTTTTAAATGTTACATCAGTTTACATTCCAATAGACTAAGCTGGAAGTGACCTTATCGTTGTTTGACCATGAGAAGGATCAAATATATTCCTGGTGTCTTCCATCCAAGTGTCTTGTTTTAAAGTCCATGTGTTGCATGAGCCTATGTAAGACTGTTTCCCACTAAATCACTGAAGTTTGTAAATATGTATTCGTGTTCAACCCCTTACAACTCCTAGCATCCCTGTCTCTGACTTTAAAATGGTTTGACACCACTGCATGAATTTTTGCATGAACAACTTTTTAGATACAGAATATCTTGCAGGGATCAAGAGCCAAAGATGCATTACCTCCTCTCAGTTAAACAAAAAAACAAAAAAGCAAAAATAGATATTATTCTGCTCTGTAACAGTTTTAATAGTTGATTTCCTGTTGCTCAAGATATTCTGTTTCTAAAATACAAGTTTGTCTATAAGCTATCCTTCCTATTTTACATAGTTATAATTATTGCTAGGTTAAATTAGTTTAATATTTTACTCTTGTCATAACAAATTTACTACAAATCCACCAAACTAAATACAAATTGGCCACCAGAATGAATACTACAAATTGGCAATTAAATGATTGGATATAATGGCTGTAGTTTACTAGACTTACTACAAATCTGGTTGAATTGTTGAAAAATAAACCACGGCTCTTAATTTATGCACAACAATGGTACAACTCAGCATATGATCTCATTAAAGATTTTCAGCTGACTTATCGAGAAATGTTTATCATAAAGGAATAATTTGTCTGATAGTTGGACAGATAGATGTAGGTTACTCTCACCAGAATTGATGTGTGAACTTTGGTCCGTACGTCTATTGTGGTGTAAAAGTTCAAAAATGTATTCCTGAAATATCAACATTCAACTCTGTATCATGAAACTTAATACGGTATATTTTAGTATTTCAAATTTCAATATTTGAATTCAACTCAATTATGCGCTTTAAAGCCTTTCTGGCGTTCAGTAACCTTAGATAAGAAGCACGAGAAAAATGCAAATGATTTTTTTAAATATTTTAATAAGTTTTATAAAATTTAGTATAATCAAATTTCAACCATACAATATAGTTTATTTTTGATAAATTGGGTGTCAACAATCTCGGGCTGTTTTTGATCCATACCACACATAAAGTTGAACTACTGATAGATATTTTACCCTACCAAACTTTTGTGGTGTTAAAGTTCCGATTGAGCTGCTCTCAAATCTCAACCAATACTTAAGTTAAGGTATGCCTACTAATAGTACATGATTGTTTATTGGTTACACAACATGCATTTGAGTGTTGTTTACTTGATACCTCAAGGTGGTGGTGAACGCCTTGGTGCAAGCCATCCCCTCTATCTTCAACGTGCTTCTCGTCTGTCTCATCTTCTGGCTCATCTTCGCCATCATGGGAGTCCAACTGTTTGCTGGAAAGTATTACAAGGTGAGCAACAAACTTCTGGGTGTGAAGATTCATGGTATTTATACAACGACTGTGTCGTAATCAACAAACTTTTCCTAGGTGCACTTGCTATTGGTAAGTCAAGGCACTCTGCATCGAGACCAGAAACAGAAACACTGTTGAATAGAAGTGTTTTGTTGATTTTTACCCATCGAGGCCCAATACCATGAATCTACAATAAGTGACAGTAGACTACAATAATGTGGATATGACAATAAAACCCATTCAGGAAGATTCTGGGTGTGAAGTTTTCGTATAGCGCTTCGTATAAAACTTTCGTAGTACAATATTTGGATGTACTTTGTTATTGTTACTATTTACTGAACTAAGATCATCTTCAAGTAGTAAGGTGCATTACTTGCATACAAAATTCATCTTCTATTCTGGTCATGCCCAGGTGCATATATATGTAATTAAAATGGCAATTGAATAAATTTTAACACTAATTAAAATTATGAAAAAGAAAGAGTTAAATTGTTTTCAATGTTTAAATGTGCACTTGTGGTTTAACAGTGTGTTGACGCCAACGGTACTACACTCAGCCACGAGATCATTCCTGACCGGAACGTCTGCATAGCCGAGAATTACACATGGGAAAACTCTCCGATGAACTTTGACCACGTGGGGAAAGCGTACTTGTGCCTCTTCCAAGTGGCGACGTTCAAAGGATGGATTCAGATCATGAACGATGCCATAGACTCCAGAGAGGTAGGCATCCTTCCACGAAGATAGGAGAGTCATGAAATTGTGTTAAATATTAAAACTAACCAGTGTTGCGAATTAATGTCATTCTGCTCTTTCTCTTTTGTCTAGTTTAATATCTGTATCAATACTAATAAGCTTATTTACAAAGATTTGTGATAATATTCTGATTATTTTTTCTACATTCTTTATCTATACAGAAGAGTTATTTTCATCCAACCAAACACTTTTAATTTAAAATACATAATAGACTGAAACTGATCGGATTGATAAATGACATCTAAAATATACAAATGCATATTTATTAGGCCCAAAAATTCAAATCCGTATTGAATTCAGTCTAGAAAAATCCATGCCTGCTGCTAATTTATTTTGATCTGGAAATATTGCAGTTGAAATGGAATATATTAAAGTAAAATACTAATCAGCCAATTGGCCTTTCCTTAACTCCTAACTTAAAAATATGTGGGAGATTTTTATTTTTTAAGCTACGGTAGTTTTCCTGAGAAAATTTAAGTCCAAGGGTCACATAACATGACACTTATATTTTTGTCCTAGACTGGAACATTTTTAAGCGAATACATTGTTAAGAAATCATCATCACTAAAACTTCATACTAGAGGTTTAGATGAGTACTTTAATTACAATAATTTATACTAACTTCAAATTATTTAGTAGTCTACTATTAGAATTTGTAGCTATGACATAGGTTAAGTGTAAATACTTTATAGGAATACTCATTACATTTAGTTTTGAATGAATGTTGGATCCTTGTTTTTGTATTAAAGGGGCAAATATAAACATAATACAGCATAAGTAATTTGAACTTTGTATTTAAAAAAAATATATGGCTTAGGATGAAAGATTTGAAATAAGATTGCAATATACATTACAAGTTATTTATAAAAACAATTTCAAACTTGTTGAACCTTATTTTACTTGTAGAAACAAATGTTAAGAAATAAGTTCTTGTCTAACGATCAGTGCATTAGCTTATCTTAACAAATAGTCTGTTTTATTATTGAATTTATTGAAATCGTAGCATGTTAAAACTATGTTACCCTACGATTTTTTAGAAAGTCTTTTAAATTTACTAATAATCAGTTTTAGTTTAAGTAAGCAAGCTTGGAAGCTCGTGAGTGGACATTTTTGCAGGATTGGTAAGTTCTGATAATGCTAGTAGATGGCAATGGGTTAAGCTTAAGCCGTTCATTGTAGTTGATTACAGGGCAATCAGGAATCAAGTTCGATAAAGACATTTGGTCCATCTCTCTAACGTTACGTTGTTATTTTCTAGCTTAACAAGCAGCCCATACGAGAAACCAACATTTACATGTATCTCTACTTCGTATTCTTCATAATCTTCGGTTCGTTCTTCACTCTCAACCTATTTATAGGAGTAATCATCGACAACTTCAACGAACAAAAGAAAAAGATAAGTATTTATACCTTGTTTTAGATTATTAAGTGTTGTCCGTGTACTAAATGTGGATTTACCGCTTACTTACAATTGGACGAGGTGTCGCAAATATGTTCAAGTGGTTATTCATTCTTGGCTCTTGAAAAAAATAATTTTTTAACGATGTATAGACCTACTTGTACTTAGACAATGCAAGTAATGTGAGATAAGGTCTTGGAGATTAATTAGTTGTTTGAGATCATTTAACCACAGAAGTACATTTTCCTACTTGTAGTTTTTTATCTTTCAGTCATTCAATCTATCAATTTGGTTTAGTCCTCAGTTAGGGAAATACCAATTAAAAAAATATATATAGTAAGAATAGGGGCAAAACCTTTTTGAATTTGAATGTATGTTCCATATTGATCTTTAATGAACTTAAATACATTGTAGTAGCAAAGATAACCCTCAAATGCTGTTTAAGTAAAATCAAGCCATGATGAATAACCCAAAATCACGCTGCCTAATAACAACACTCACGCATTTCAGGGCCACACCTGTTCAAAACTTGTGAAATATGTTGGCAATCTAAACACTTAGATAATTGTGTAGATATAGTCGTGTGTTGTGTTTAACTAAGAAGGCTAAATAAAACGCAGCTCGGCTGAAGTGTTGGTGTGTAGAATATTTGTACGCACGCTCAAGGAAACAAAGCTCTTAGCGTAGAGTGTGCTCTTATAAAAGTAAGCTGTAAAATTGGTAAGCTATAATGCCGTCTGACATTCGGTTAGTTCAGCCGAGGTAGTAAATATGTAATTAACTGAGTGAATATCTAGTTTTAGATTTAGGCTATTTAGATCTAGAAACATAGTGAACTCAGTAGCTAGACAATGAGTTTCAAGTGGATATATATAAAATGCTCAATTAGAAAACCACAGATAAATTTATTTAATGAAGGTTTGAATTTTATGTGTGACCCCATAGATTTTAGCTTTAGTTAGACTGTAGTAATCTTGTAAATGAACCTTTCTTGATAAAGCCCCAAAAATGAGATTGAAAAGTTCTTTTAAAAACAATATATTATACATAGTTTCATTGACTTTATATTTCAAATGCAACATTTGTTCAGGTGTTGAACTAATATTTCATCGAAACCTGATTAAAGGAGATTAACTTTTGCTATGATACAGCTTTAGCTTTAAGGAAGAGCAAATTTCTAAATTATTGGTTTGCTTATCTCAGCATTACAAATTGTTTTTACTCCTGTAACAATACACAATTTTTAACATATTTGCATTTGCAGATATTAAACAGATACCGTACCTGTTCTAGCTTATGTATGAAAGAGAGTTAATTTTATCTGGATGCCTGAGGGTCCAAACCTTTGGAAGGACATTATTTGCGAGTTTTATGTAAATTTAATTGTACTTTGTACTCCTTGGGGTTCAGTTTCTTATCGGATTGTTCTATTATTTATTAGGGTGTCTAATTTGATACCCTTTCTGTGCATAGAAACAATTTAACCTCAAATGTATACAGAATTTTGAAATCAGGCTGGCTAAATAACGATCTGACATTTTTGGTGAGTCATTTTAGTTAAAAAGTTGTTTATTTAATTAATATGTTTTCCTCAAATCTTTTAAAATTGACAGAGTTATAAACATGCATAGAAGGAAATATTGAAAAAAAGATAACACCTTGGAATTAAGTGGTGGATTATTATTAGTATTGAATTGATGTTTCTAAATTCCATAATCTTTAAGTAGATGTTAAAACAGTTTTTGTGTATGGTGGAATCTGTTTAGTTTTCTTTTTTAATGCAAACGAATTTAACTCCTTGCAACAAGTTATAGCTTGATGTTGTACCATTGCAACATGAGTAACTGTGATAATAAGTAGAAAAAAATATAAATAATACTGTATATTAGTTATTTTAATGTCCACGCCATTCACAATACTGTTTTGCATCTGCTGTAAGTGAAAATGAAAGTTCCAACACTGCATTCAATGACTCAAATGTCAGTTCAATTGATAATTAGAATCAGAAAGATATTGCAAATAATGGTGAAATAATTTCACCGAGTACAATATGTTTAGGTCAATGTGCTTTTGTAACAGCTAGGACTAGTTGTGTTGTAATATTAGTGGTGCTTGGTTGCATTGCTCTCTGTTCTCTGTTGAATTATAAGGTAAACCACTACAGTTGAAGACTTGCTACTAATACAGTAACTTATACCTAGTTGCTTTGGGCTATTTCTCTCGTATTTTTAGTCCTGTTTAAAATAGATTTTGTTTTTGTCTTGATTCGCTTTAAAAATATTTGTTTGTTAGTATATTAGTGGTTATTGTTGCAATTTAAATATTTTGTAATTTTGCTTGTATTCGAACATACCAAGAGAACCACTCACTGCAACTCTGAGTAGACCCTTTTCTAATGCATTTCTTTTGTGGGACTTTTTAAATATTTTTACTCTTTTATCTAGCCAGTTCCCCAAATCCGGGATTTTTTACTTTCTAGTTGTTTACACCATAGGGGCTACCTGCATGTTTATTTCGACTTTCTCGCACTGAGGGAAATGCCCATTTTGTTGTTTTTTTTTTCAGTCGATAAGTGAATGAGCGAGTCAGTTTCCCATCTCATTTCATCTTTTTTTCTATCTCATTTTTTCCCCTAGTTTTTTTTTATTACCAGTTTCGTGTCAGTTAACTAGGCTATTTTTAATTTTGATTCAGCCTTTTACATAGATTATTGATTCACAAAGTTTTATGAATTTAGATTTACCACGTACCAGTTTTTATAGAATTTTATTACAATGAAAAAGTTAACAATCAGTTTATTATACAAATATTTATTGAGATTCAAAACTAATTGTAATACTACGTGGTAGAGTAAATGTAATATTTTATGTAAATAATGTTTCATATAAATACTAGATAGATTTGTAGACGAATGATATAGTTGCCTAATACCTGTAGTGATTATTTTATGTTGAGACAAAGACGAAAGAATCAGTTGTTTTGTCTGATTACGCAGGAGGGTCCTTGGAGATGTTTATGACAGAGGATCAGAAGAAGTACTACAACGCCATGAAGAAGATGGGCTCCAAGAAACCTCTGAAGGCTATACCCAGGCCGAGGGTGAGTATACTGTGAAGAGGACAAGGTGAAATGTATGGTGTTGCTGGAGATTGGTTGAATTAGATCTCATCCTTGAAACAGCGATAGAGATTATTATGAGATGATTCGATTATCATGAGAGAACTGAAAAAATCCCAAAGCACAATTAATATGAGGAGGAACACATTAGGGTGGCATTCTGATACTTCACTCTTGAGTATTTTTTTTTTAGTTTCAAACAATTTTTAGAAATTCTCAAACAAAAGTCAATCCTGCCTGTTGTTTTACTGGTTGTTGTGTGATGTAGCAACAGATATGAGTGGTGAAGTTCCGATAGGACAGGTCTTACTCCCTTATAGTTTCAGTTTGGCTAGGTTTTGCCCATAACAACTTCTAGATATGACTAAATAATAACTTAACTGTAACTATAATGTCTGTTGGTTACTTTAAAAGCTGAAACAAGATCGGTGTAGTTACTAGTTAATCAATGACAATTTAAAAAGTTGTCAATCAATACTCTGCTAACTACTGCTAACTTAAAAAAAGAACAGATATGAAACTAGTTGTGTTTTTTTATGGAAATTATTTTTGTCATTTACGCATAATCTATATTATTATGTTATTTCTTACACACAAACTGATAAAGCTATTCACTAAAGTTTCATTACATTTAATTGATGTTTAACATAACTATTTGATGTTCCAGTGGCGACCGCAAGCCATCGTGTTTGAGATTGTCACAGACAAGAAGTTTGACATGATCATCATGTTGTTCATCGGCCTCAACATGTTGACTATGACGATGGATCACTACCAACAGACACAGATCTTCACAGACGTGCTGGACGCTCTCAACGCGATATTCATCGTCATATTCAGCAGCGAGTGTATCCTCAAGATATTCGCCTTGCGCTACTACTACTTCAAAGAGCCCTGGAACCTCTTTGATTTCGTAGTAGTCATTCTATCTATTTTGGGTGAGTGGGAAAGGCTTGTTTTGTTATGTTGGATTTTAAGCTCTAGAGATTCACTATGCCATAGATAAAACACACTCTCATAGATTGATTGCCCTTATAGATCAGCTAACAATTCAAATTATGTTTCTGTCGGTTTACGTAGACCATATTTTTTTTATAATTATTTGTTCCTTTTTATTCAACCAACTTAAAAATATCAATTTCTTGGTTGATAATTATAAAATTAAAATCAAAGAGTTGGGAACATATTGTAAGTCCACCCGGAAATAAAAGAGATACGTTTAGTTACATTTTGATTTTAGACAACTAGGCACTCGGGCAAGATGAAACACATCAAATCTCTTTGCCAATTGCTGTTTGTTAGGAGTTAAAATGTAAATTTCTTGTTCAATACAGTTTAACATTATGCTAAATACACAGTAATAAACCTCTTGTCACTTGCAGGTTTGATATTGAGTGATCTGATAGAGAAGTACTTTGTCTCGCCTACGTTGCTGAGGGTCGTCAGAGTGGCCAAAGTGGGGCGAGTACTCAGGCTGGTCAAGGGAGCCAAAGGCATCAGAACGCTGCTTTTCGCCCTCGCCATGTCCCTGCCTGCCCTCTTTAACATCTGCCTTCTTCTCTTTCTCGTCATGTTTATCTTTGCTATATTCGGAATGTCTTTCTTTATGAACGTCAAAGAAAAAAGCGGACTCGACGATGTCTACAATTTCAAGACATTTCCAAAATCAATGATTCTTCTCTTCCAGGTGTGTTGGAGTAATTAGTCATTTGACTGTTTTTATTGTCATTGTAAAAATTGTCATTATAATTTTGGATCTTGGTTGTAAAAATTTGTAATTTAGAGATATTTTTATACTCAAGAGATTAAATGCAAGAGCAAAACTTATAACGATGATACTTAATGATATATCATTATAATGATGGTTGATGGCAAGTGGTTTTAATTAGGCTCTCCAATTATCTTCGGACCTTAAATACAAGTTAAGAGAATAACATCAAAATGGTACTTTAATTGTGTATTGATAATTTGCTAATGTTAAATATTAATACAATATTCAATCTTTATAAAATAAATTTGAATGACTCGTTTAAATTGTTTATGAGTGGAACAAAGACATGATTCAAAATTTAAGCTAGTTCAGTAAAGTATTTTGTTAAAAAAAAAAAATAGGTAAATAAGTATTTTTTAAATCTCAAGGTTTGTAATATTTTTATAGTTACAAAAAAGTTTGGAATATCAAGAAAAAGAGGATAATTTGTTTTGCAGATGTCCACCTCAGCGGGCTGGGATGGAGTTTTGGATGGGATAATCAATGAGGAAGACTGTGAGGAGCCAAACCCAGAGATGGGTTCACCTGGAGACTGTGGGTCGTCAACCGTGGGCATCGCCTTCCTGCTGTCATACCTGGTCATCAGCTTCCTGATCGTCATCAACATGTACATCGCTGTCATCTTGGAGAACTACTCACAGGCTACAGAGGACGTGCAGGAGGGCTTGACGGACGACGACTACGACATGTACTACGAGATCTGGCAGCAGTTCGACCCCGATGGCACACAGTACATCCGCTACGACCAACTCTCCGACTTCCTCGATGTGCTTGAGCCGCCGCTGCAAATACACAAACCTAACAAATACAAAATAGTTTCTATGGACATTCCTATATGCAAGGGCGACTTGATGTTCTGCGTGGACATTCTAGATGCTCTGACCAAGGATTTCTTCGCCAGAAAGGGAAATCCCATCGAGGAGACGGGCGAGCTAGCCGAGGTGGCGCCGGGACGACCGGACGAGGTCGGCTACGAGCCCGTGTCGTCGACGTTATGGCGGCAACGCGAGGAGTACTGCGCGCGACTGATACAGAACGCGTGGAGGAAGCACAAGCAGCAGAGGCAAGGTGGTGCGGACACTCCCAACTCCAACGATGCCAGAGAGACTGCAGTGCTGGTTGAGAGTGATGGCTTCGTCACTAAAAACGGACACAGAGTTGTTATACATTCCCGGTCTCCTTCGACCACATCCAGACTAGCAGATGTCTGAGGAAGGCCACGTCCCCCATCCTTCGATGACACCGACTGTAACGAACAAGATGTCAACTAAATACTCAACACGATTAACCTGATTTCATTCTCCTGGGTGGGTGGGTGCATTCTTCTCTGCTTTTCTTTGTCTCCCTAATAGTCACAATGTTAAGGTATGACATCATTTAGCATTATAAATATATTCATGGAAAATAATCATTTATTGTGAAAACGTAAACTTTTGCTTTCCATTGGAACTTAATTCACAATCAATTTCATCTTCATACCCTTGTAGGTATGAAAATATTCCACGCATGCTTCCTCCAAGGGATTGGGCATTGTAAACTGCTCGCCTACAGCTATAAATTTAATTTTTGAATTTGGAAACAACATTTCAAATCCAAACGGGCGTAATATTTGACCAAATACCACTACCAGTAACTTCTGACAGAGATGAGTGCACCAAACCCAAAATCCTTCCATGTATGTTGCTGGAGCAATCCCAACTACATATCCCTCACAAAAATAGCAATAATCATTTGCTCACATTTGATTCGAGCAAGTCACCTTGACAAAGTCAACTCCTAAGTTTCCGTCCTGATCGGCAATATGCTGCGCTACAAAAGACTCCCTTTCCTCACCCGTCGAATCGTCATTTGTCTTCCTTGAGTGACGAATCGACTTATTCTTAAAACAATCGGTTGAGTAATTTATCTTGCCATCTTGTTCGATAAATTTGTTTGGCAGTTTTACGATTTAAGGGCTGTACACTACTAATATGTACGTTTTTGCAATTTTTTTATTACAATTTTAGCGGCTTTTAAGAAAAAAGATTTTATATTGAATAAATTTTAAAAGTAAGTTACATTTAAAGTTAGTTGATGACAAATTAAAAATTATATTGTTAGAATATGAAAGTCTTTTAACATGTACTACAAAGAATTGTACTTGTATATTTTTACACATTCAAATTACGCTGCATTTGTCTATTATTGTGCGCAGATGCTTTTATAATGTTTTAAGTGCCAGTTTTGGGAATATGAATACTTCCTCATTGAGCAGCCAACGACAATAAGTAGTTTACCTCCACTGAATCTATTTATGCTCATGAACATTCTCAAATAGTGTAACATTAATACGCAAGTTGTTTCATGTTATTCAGCAAATATTTTACATTTTCCATATTGACAATTCCTCTAATGCCAGAGAGAGAGAGGTTACTTTAACTTAAACGTTTGAAATAATTGCTGAAAATTACTTTTGGAAATGAAACGTTAATGTTTTCATTTTTGATTTTACTTTCAATTTTGGTTTTAGTGAAAAACAAAACATAATAATTAATGCAGCTCAAATATTACATTTTTATATGATAACTTAAAAAATAAAAGTTCAGTTTTATCTTTAATTGAAAAAATAATAGTAAGAAATAAAACTCTGAAATCACGTTTACATGTGATACTTGTATAGGTAGTATGTGTAGTACCAAAATTACCTTTACTAATTAAATTTTTCAGATTTTTTTTAGCAGACGTCCAGCAGTTGTTAGAGTTTACCTCTCTCATATTTGATAACAATTTTGAATACCATGTACATTTTAAAATTATAAATCAGTCTTCAATATTTGAAATATTTTTATATAGCTGTCATTCAAAATGATGCCGCAACTCGTGTTACTACTGCCTTGTATTTTCAGTATTGGGCTTGCTACTATAGAATAGATCTAATGCTTGATTGTAAGTATGTACAGATTCTATTTAATAGACTGTAAAAAGTGTGTGATGATGAATTGTAAATAATCACTTTAAACAATGACCTTACCTTGATTCAGCTATGTTTTTGCTACAATTAATAGAATCTCATGTTGGTTGTAATTTTCCTCAAATATTCCATTAGCTTGATTTACTTAAGTAAAAAGGACTGGTGAATGTTAAAGTTTCACTAAAAAATGTTTTAGAAATATTGATTGTAAAATATTTTGAAAGAGAATAAGTTTACAATGTACTAAATGAAAAACTACAAAGGGGTATAATTTTATAATTTTGAGAGTCTGTGATAAAGTTTATATGGTAAATTGTGATTTGAGAATATTTCTATTTAACAAAGTTTGTTTATGTTTAAGAATTTTATTATACATATATATCGTGTTATCCTTTATTGAATAATCTCAGTTTAAAATAATCACGCACATGTTGTGTTTGTTATTTGAATATAAGTTTTTAGTTAATATATTAAATGTTATTCGATTGTTGGCTGAAATCCATTTAAGTGCATACATGTAAAAGAATGTGAGTGTGTACATTGACATAAACACAAATGAAACCTTGTCTTCATATTAACAGTCACATTCGAATATTGAAAAGGAAGTATTCATATTTTTATGCTCAGTTTTTATTAGGATATAATTGTTAGTTGATAAACTTAAACTGGCCACAGCTCGGAGCAATGACCTTTTATTTTCATCTCCAATTTTCAAGTAGTTTTAAAATTCTTAATTATAAGTTATATATTTTTTTAATTTATTTGCAAAACATATATTTTTTTATCAGTACTGTTAAAAAACCAACTGTACATTTTTTAAGGCGAGGGTTTCATCAAAATGTCTTCCCTATTTTGACGAGGGCCTCACCACCGTATGTTCGGTTCGTCCTGTCTCCCTGGTGATGAAAGTCAGGGTTCGTTGCTCCTTGCTCAGCCAATCAGCTTCTGTTCCTAAGTGTCGTGTCCGAAAGCTGTCAAAGACGTTACGGTGGTCCACGGGGTGGGAGTGACGTGCTACACTCATAGCTTATTTCACACATCTCTTTACTCTCGGACGCTACAAGCAGTGAAAGACTCGAGGGGAAGTCTCACCACTTTACTTACTGTATCCGCGTTGCACACGTAAATAATAATTTAAACAAGAATAATTTCAAGAACTCTTAGAAGTGAATAGTGGAGTTTAGCTTAAGTCGGGTTAGTTATCACTCTTGGGTTTATAAAGTTGCAGCAACGACGCAGTCTGTTCGGTGTGCCGGGGCCTGCTCTTCCCTGCCGGTCCCGCACTCACGCAACCATTGCCTTGTAATCATGTTACGTTTTGTCGTTTGCAATATTTTGTTTGCCAATTGAAATAAAAAAGTTTAAAAGGTTTGGTAATAAAACAGTGATGTTCATTCTACCCACACCTAGTTGGAAGACTTACTATTATTTGACTGCCGCATAGAATGGTAAGTAAAATTTGTTGACCTAAGGTAAAAGGAAGTGAACTTCATCACCATGCATCTCATCAAATCAAACAAAATTATGCATACAGTTTATTAAATGTCCCACCATTGATTCTGATTGAATAGTATAATTTTTTACTCAATCGATTAAACAAGACACCAAATATCAGAGTTAAATCCTAAAATAGCATAATAAAATTACAGAAATATAAACTGATAATAAGTAGACCTAAAGCTGGAAAAGTATTACTTTTCTTTAGAGGATGCTAAGCTTTTTCTACTATTTAGTCTTTTTTCTTTCATTCATCATAACTCGTGTAAATCGTTGTTACAGTCTATAGTGTCAAAAATAAAATAATAATACTATTTCTATTTCTGGGTGTTGGAAAACTCATCAAAAGAATATAATGCTAAATTTATTATTTAATCTTTAAAGATTTTCTTGAATTTTGAGTCCATATCTTTTTTTATGAATTCAGGGACAAATTTTAGAAAAACGTTACCAGCTTATGAGGGTTTTTTCTAAAAATTTAACTTGTGAGGCTGGAAAAACTCCCTTCTCCTGAAATTATAAGAATGCAACAGATTTATTACTTCCTCTGATTCCTTTTTTTTTGCAATGTGAATTGTTTTGTAAAGATATTGCCCATAAACGGTTAAAGTTTGTAATTTCTTAAAATGTTCTTTTGTCGAATCATCTTTTTTAAGCTTGAGCATAATTCTGATTCAGCCTCTTTTTGATGCTTCAGAATGCTATCCATATTCAATTTTTTCGATGTCCCATATATTGAATGTGAGCAAAATGTATACTTTTTATGGTTTTCAATAAGGCAAAAATTCCGGAGTTAATTTTGATTAAAACTGTGTGTTTATCCCAATTCAAGTTTTCATCTATTGTTAAACTCAGAAAGTTGATTCGATTTTTCTTTTGAATGTTATTTGAATTGTAAGTTATTGTTGGTTCTTTTGTGTTTTTGTTCTAAGTTATGATTGTAGAAATAGTTACCAATATTCTCCTATTCTACATATGTAAAAGTTTCAGTTTCTTCTGGAGAGTTAGATGATACAATACAATTAGAATCATCAGCGTAAACATCATTTAGAATTTTGCTTGTAGGTTAATGTATCTTTCATGCCCTAAAGATAACACAAAAAAAGCAAAGGTCCCCAAATTGAATTGACTAATAATGATGAATTGATAATTCTATTATGATTTGTCGAATGGGTAATTTCCAAAAATTGAGATCTATTTGTCAAATAGGAAGAAAACCAATTAAGGTAATCAAGCATCAAGGCACATGAGCACATCAAGGTAATGCTTTTTTAACTTGATTTGCGACTTTCCTTGAAAGTAATATTTGACATGTGTTTCATAAATTAATCATTAAAACACTGATGTGGGCGTTATAATAAAACTTCTTAGAATCCAGCCAGAGAATATGTGTTACAAGATTAAAATTCCATACCGATGGAATGAGTACCCTTCAGATACAGCATTTAGCAGAGGGGAGGCAATCTGTGCCCTAAAGCTTTTTTTCTGGAATATTCTTCATAATACAATATCTTGTATATCTTGACTTTTTGCTATGTGTAGCCTGTTTAATTCAGTGAACTTTTCTTCCCGATGCCTCATAGTATATGTTTATATATATCGACAAAACCTAAAAATAGGGCCTAAGCTAAGTTTTGTGGAGAGTAGTCTAGTCTTAATTTACCATCTATTCCACGGTCTACCAAATCTATATATTTAATTCCGTAAGCGAATCGGTCCCCACAAAATATCTCGAGCTAGGAAAAAGATAGCATGGGTGTTGAGGATTCATTTTTAAGTTTAAGGTCCAAGGACGGTGGGAAAAATATCAGAAGTGTCAAAAATTACTCCTGCTCTGCCCCACAGGCCGCCTAATCCAGTCATTTTCTAATGGAAGTTCTGCTACATTGTTTCTATAAGCTTTTTTTAAAAATACTAGCTGTTGTAAACATTGCTCATTTGAATGTTTAGTGATTTTAGTGTTCTGTTTTTAGGTTAGAATAGTAATGCAGTGTTAAAATTTATGGTGTTAGGGGAAGAACGGGACTACGAAGGAGAGTATTTAGGAATGGTGCACAGCATAGGGAATGGTAAAGGACAATTTACAATGGAGGTGAACGGCAGCAACTGTTGTTTGTATGGCCCCTAACCAATATAATTATGGGTTAGGACATTTAATTTTTTTGTCAACAATAATAATAAACCTTTTAATTTGTTGTAGCTTAGTAAACGTACACCGAATATCATTTACAAGAATGTGCAGCTGCAAATGCTATATTTTACAATTGTTCTGCTTTAAATTGTTTGGTTAAAGTGCTCAGTTTAAGTAACCAATTTATGAAACGCAATTGAGTTCCTTAGTCTGTCCCTGAAAATGACTAAAGATTTACTTGATCCATCTAACACAATCCCCCCTCCCCCATGAGTTGTATTTGAATCAGGAATTAAAGCATTTCCCTGACTGTCTTCTCTTTCAAATGAAAATAACATAACAAATCATAGTTTTTTTCTTTAACTAATTCAAAGTAGGCTATTCAAAATTTGTACAGTTAAATAAAGCACAAAAAATTTATAAAATTCGATCAATAGGCTAATATGAGGTTCTGGCTAAAGAAAAAACTTATCTTCGTCGTTAACGAAGCTTAACAGGGCATCTTACTCCATTCTACACTCATCCCTCACTCATATTTGGGTTAAATAAAACACACCCAACAAGTAATTTGGATTTCAATCTCAATGTGTTATGCAGTTTAGTAAACCATAAAAAATACTACAGTATATTTTGACCTTATTGATTCCATGAACAGTTTTAATGTGCAGGGTTTCATATTCTCATGTCAAATCATGAAATTGCTTCTAGTTTGGAACAAAAAACTGAGTTAGAATTTAGGCTATAGCTATGTAGCACATTAAAAATGTGATCTTCCTTTATATCTCGATACCCTTTTTAAATTTACTAAATACTCTTAAAACTCTCCTCTTAATGCACATTTAGATCTCAAGTGGAACCACAATATGTGCTAAGTTTCACCTCCACAAATTGTATTCATGAGATTTAATGATCAGTGAAGTATAATATGCGGCTTCTTTGAATATATTGAATTTAAACCCAATTTAAAAAATACAAATAGTAATTGCAGTATTTGTTATTACTACTCGTAGAATAATATTGTATACATTTGGTTATAATGTTAATGTGTCATTCCATTAGGTTCATATATTAAACAATTGACAATCTTACAATACAAATTTAATCCCGGTATAGAAAAACGTATAATAGATATAAAACATAACAAGAGTCAATAATAACGGCTTCCTATCTACAATCAGTTTTGTCTTCAATTTCTATTTCTTGAGTGTCTGTAGAGACCTTCATTCCAAACACAGCTCTAGAGAAACTATCTATCCTTTTCAAATTCTCACACATCTTTTCATTGGCCTTGTTGACCACATACTTAATGTACTGAAACAGAAAATTGTTAATTGTTAAACATGTTTATTGCTCGGGGATAAAAGAACTGAAATATTAGGTGATTAATTTAAATCACACCGTTCCTAAACTAGATCATATCAAACAGATTTGCAATGATCTTGTCTCAGAGTAGGTCACTTTCAAGAGAAATAATGAATTAGAGTACTTGCGAGTAAATGAGTAGCCTATCGTTTTATTTTCCAACAGTGGGATTTTTACATTATTGGTGATTTTTAATGTTATTTTGTGATAAAGGTTTCAAACAGAAAATGTTATAGGTTTAAATAAGCCAAACAAAAACCCTTTAATAGTTTTAGTAACAAGGAAACAGTATTCATTTCATGACTTAAATAATAGGTTGTTATTTTCTGTGTTTCCTAAATTGCCGCTTGTTAGACCTTGTAGTGGCCAGTTTACATTAGATAATTGAGGCTCTACTTTGATATTATTTAATTATTATTGTATGGTTTTTAGTAAAGAGGGTTCTACAATATTGAGAAGGTCCTTCGCCCCTCGTAGACTTATACTGTTTGTTTTTCAAGACAAGAAGACATCACATAGCTAAGAGCCATTAGGAAATGATGAGTTTTTAACCAATGTCTCTGAGACAGAAGTACCAGGCTCTAAAACACTAATCCAGGCAGCCAATGCAACGTAAGTTATTTTGCAGGCTGTGAGCCAATTTGTGCACTTGAGTAAAAATTTAAACAAATGATTGAATTTTTTACTTTAAATAACTAATACTTTCATGGCCGTTTTAGTTTTGCTTGTATCATTTTTATGGAGTTCCAATTTAATTTTTAAACAAAAAACACTCAGCTACTACAATTATAAAAATTTACGTCACTTAAGAACGCAAATATATACGCGTACAATTATAGCCTCCTCTAATACTAGACCACAGCGAGACGAAAGTGTCAACGCCACAATCCCGGACTACTGTAACAGCTGTTGCACTAAATTCATGTGGATCATCTGTGCAATGTTTATGTTTACCTACACATTTGTCATTACTATTGTACCAAGGCAATGGGCCGGTCAGTGCAATGTTGCCACACACCAAGGACGCAACCTCGTATTAGAGCAGGCTATGGTACAATCCTAGAAAAGTTTTTTTTCTTAAACCAATGCCTGAGGAATTATGTGACTTATATGGAAATTGATCAATGTTACTGTAAATGCCGCAGCAAACCTGCAGACGAAGTGGATTTATATTTGGGTGATTTTATTTTCACTCTAATCTATTTAAATAACATAAGGTTTATTGAGTAGGCTGTCCAGGTTTGCTGCTACAAGGAGGATAATAAAGTGTGTTTTTAGTAAAATATTAATGCCATGCTTAGTATAAATAAAAAGAGTAATATAATCTGATATAAAATTTAATAAATTTGATGATTTGTTATTGAAAGATTAAATTCAAACATACTTCGTTAGAGACAATGAGTCCAGTTTCATCCGACAATGGAACTTCCAATCCATGAGTGCCTCGAACAGCTAATGTGATGGAACCTTGGCGGCCAAACACTGATCCTGAGTTACGGTAGCCTGCGTTAAATGCACAATCTTGCTGAAATCAGAAACCATATGTGAGTAATTAATTCTTTGAGTATGCTACCTTTATTAGGATAGCAAATATACTATATCTGAATGGAAAAGAGTACATTCTGACACAAGAAACACTAAAAACCTTACACTTAACACAGCAAATTCAAAAGTATGTAGCTTTTTGTCACTGACAGCCCTTTCAAGTGCTCGCCTTCAAATCTAAAGGTCGCTGATTTGATTCCAAGCAATAGGCCTATTGTTTATGGACCCAGGATGCCATTTGTAATTTGGATATCAATGATGCTATCTAACATAAGCTCAAAGCTAGACACTAACAAACCCAACCAGGGTTTGGATCTTTCCCTTGAAAAAATTCCAATGGTGTAAATAAGTACTTCCTGCGTATTGAAAATGCTATCAATGAGAGCACGGTGATTTTTGTGTAAAATAATTCAAAATTTTTTGGGTTTCTTGTGACAGAGTAGACACTTTCCATTCAGGAAAGTCTGCTATTCAAAGAGATTACAACACCCAACTCACCATAAATGCACTTCCTAAAGTGTGAAATTGGGGGGAAAGCTATATCGGTCCAGAAAATTGACTGGAACCTAACCAAACCTATTATAACCTAACTTCATCCAAAACCTCAATACAACATTTACACAATAACACACCTCAGGATGATTTTGTTCAGTTATAAAAACCTACAAATACAACAACAACAATACTCACACAATCAATGCAATGGAGGGTAAAGCAACCTAGCAGCTTTAAAGAAATTATGCAGACGTTCCAGAGGTTGATAGGGATGTTTGAATTGGTATTCATTCGGCCAAATATCTGAAGAAGTGGTTCTTTTCCCAAATACCATACTAAAGGGGATGCATAGTTGCCCGAATCCCTCCAAACATGCTCTATATTATTCATATGAGCTCCAATCCCATGGTCCTTTAAGTTCAGCAAGTGGTTGACGTGACGGTGTCCCTCCTGGGATAAATAATCAAAGGCTTTCCACTTCCATCCGTCAGTGACTGCACTCATGGACCCATTCTCGTATCAATGCCAGCAATGTAGTAGAGTACCCTTGATTCCACAGGAACAAGGAAGGAACGTATACAAAGTTTTGGACCAAAGAATACAATTTTAAAAAATCACACTGTGTAAACTACGGTAATAAAACCCATTCTGATGTTGCATCCAATTACTGACCCTGGTAAATTGAAAACGTGGACATTAGATTACCGGCACCGGTAATTTAAGTGATATTTCCAGCAACTGTTAGGTTCAAAGCTTAATTAGTTTTATTACTCAAATATAGGTCATTACCATTTTCTTTGCAGCAGTTACATTTCTACACTGGACATGCAAAATGAAAGGTTCAAACTTCAGTATCATATTCTTTTCAACACAGGTACTAAGCTTGTCAACGACCTGATTGGGATCAACTACTTCATGACTTGTTAGTATCCACTTGCAACCTTTCTTGATGGAAACCTCTTCACCCTGAAACAGTTAAATGTCACTATAAAACTATGTAAAAGTAAGACAGCCAACGCTCCAGCTCAGTTTTATCTTGTGTTACTATATAGTACACAAGAAAGTATGTAGGACTATGGTTTGTGAGTATTTCAGTTGGTTTGTCATTTGAAAACTACTGAACCAGTTGAACAGAATTTTTGAAAAAAGGTGAATATCTACCACAGATGGTCATCAGCATATTTTAATTTTTAAACTCTGCTTGGGCTTCACCCCACTGGGTTTAAAAGTGTATATGTTATTTTTATGAGTAGGCCTACCGTAATCCACTTAGTATCAAGGGTACAGTAAGGGGAAAGCCTGTGCTATATTACCAAATTAAATAGGCCTATTTATATTATCGATTTTCATTCGGTTCAATATTAATATCACTTCAAAAGTAAATTTTACCATAGGACATAATTTAATTTTACGTATGATATTTAAATAACAAAAACAAAAACATAAGGCCTGAGGTTGTTTTTTTTATCCTATAGTTTATAGTTTTATTCTAAATGTATACCGGTAGACCAAAAAATGGAAGAAACTATTCGGGGATATTCTGGGACAATAGGCCTGAATACAGTGATACACTTATAGTCACGTGATAGAGGACATGTTCACGCATAGCTTGGTTTTTTTTCCTAGGACGCTAGGCACGAGCCCGGAATTGTTTTTCACATTACTTCAGGCTAGAACTAGGGGTTGCGGCATTATCACATAGATAAAATCCATTGGTGATTTGGCAGGATTTGAACCCAGGACCTCTTGAACCGAAGTCCCGCGCTCTTACCACTAGACCAGCTCGCTCCCCTGTGCATAGCATAGTACCAACATCGGAACCCAGGAACAAATTTGGGTCTCTAGAGGGGATCGATAGTATGAAAAAGATTTAAGCTACTACTAACTAAAAATCTACTACACTATGCTACCCCCTGTAAAGACTCAAATTCGGTCCCTGGGTTACGACGTTGATGTTTTGCTATGCGTAAACATGTCCTCTATGACGTAACTATATGTGTATCGCTGTATTCAGGCCTATTGTCCCGGAATATCCCTGAATAGTTTCTTCCATTTTTAGCATACCGGTAGGCCTATACTCGAGTCTATTGTATCTATCACCGTCAATTAATTTTGCGCAAGCGCTTTGTCACTTTTCACCCCCTCTAATGATTCTCAAGCGTTCATCACATGATTATGAGTATTACCCTACACGGTCTTATTGTCCTGAAATAGCGCTGTTATTAGACATCATATAGTGCACAGGCGCGCGCTCCGCCTAGCATTTGTGAGTTATTGGTAAAATAGTTCACACAAGTTCTCAACAAGGCAATGGTTTTGACCATTCCCTTAAATAAAACATAACAAAATATCGTTGATTATTTTTTGAGCTTTGAGACTAACTTAGGCTGTTACTAATACCTTTTGGAATAAATTGGAAGTTAGTTAGGCCATCATGTCTATAGCATACAGGATGGTATGTTTGTTACTTAATAGAGATTTTCATGGAGATTTCATACTATGATGTTTGCAGCAGCTTGCTGTAGGAAACTGAAACGGTACTGTACGGTAGGTAACTTAAAAGTTTTTTAGTGTGATCATACAAACTAGAGTATTAAGAGTAATTAAGTAAACCTAGAAAAAATTACAATAAAAGAGGCCTATTGTTAGACGCTGGGAGTTAAACAATCTTTAATTTATGATAGGGTTCAACTCTAGGATTAGAGTGAGATTTTTCTAAATCTTCTTAAGTTACCGTACGTTTAGTTTCTTTTAGCTTTTTGAGAGCTTTACTTGAGCCCAGAGTACTGTGGGTACAAATTAGAGGTTAAGAACCGGTATTTACCTAACTGAAATCAATTATTACCTTCTTCAGTATGATTATTCTTCCGGAGCAGGAGCTGGTTGTCACATAATCTTCAAGGCCATTGATAAAGTCTATTAGCTCAACAATAGGTTCATCTATATTTCCTTTTCGGCTATTATCCGTTGAGCTTGCAACCGATTCTTTTTTTCTAACAAAGATTGGGTTTATTTTGGCCATGGTATCTAGGACTTGGTTCTTCAGCGTTAACTCAAATCGACCAGAGCTTAACAGAATTGTAGGCTACATTCGTGATAAACTTTTACCTTTGCAGTAGTCAACAGATAACAAATTATCAAATCAATTGGATTTTGGTACTTTAGACTTACTCAGGTGCAGGAATGCAAGAACAGAGGGATAGGTCTACATAACTATGGTAGGTAACTTTTAACTTAGCTGCCGCTGCCATAATGTGTAAACACTGTCAGGTATCCTGTAACTTCATCTTAATCTTTGTATCCTTCTATTTTAATTTCTATCAAATCAACAACTTTCAACAAGCAACAGAAAAAAAGTTAAACAGATTTAACTAACCTAAACTTTGCCTTTTGGGGTTAGGCTGCTACTGTTGTTTAATGTTTATGTTATTGTTCAATCTGTTTGTTTTGTTGTAAATCATGCAATGCTTTCTGCCTGCTGTTTTTTTCTCTACAGTTTAGTTTGGGCTAAAACAGTTCTGACATGCAGCTATTCTGTTTAACTAATCTATATATATAAAATCCAATGTATGTTTGTATATTTGTATGTTTGTCCTTTATGGACTCCGAAACCGCTCGACAGATTGTAATGAAACTTTTAGGCATTATTAAGCATTATTCAAGGATGGTTTGTGTGAAGTTTGGTGCAGATCCGTCAATAGGGCTCCGCCCCAGTGGCTCTGGAGTTTCCCTTTCCCATGTTAACCTTATGAGTACTCATATTTAAATGGAATTAAAGAATCTTAACAGCTGGTGCAGCTAAACAATTTGATTCTGTGATGTTCAATAGCATTAAAAAGTTAATAGGTTTACCAACAGGGTGCAGCACTATATTTTTTTTAATTTATGAGAACAGTTAATTTGCAACCAAAAGGTGAGTGAGCGTAGCGAACGAACTTCAACCTGGAGGCGAGTTAGCGTAGCGAACGAGCTAACCTAAAGGCAAGTGAGCGCAGCGAACGAGCTCCAACCTAAAGGTGAGTGAGCGTAGCGAACGAGCTCATCTTGAAAATGAACGAGCATGTGACATAAAACCACAATAGGACAGGACGACGTCTGTCGGGCTAGCTGGTCTATTATATTATTAAAGTGATACAATCAAATGTTATGTAACCGGTTAGGGCCATTTACCAAATAAAAATATAGGCATATGTCATATCAAAATGAAGCTTAGAGTGTGTAGATTTGCCGAAAAGTATTGATATGGACGAACTCACTAAGGGCTCTACCCCACAGGCTGATTTCCAAAGGGCTACGCCTTGCATGTTTTGGAAGTTATTATTCCATTAATTTAGTGAACAACAGCTGGCCTATGCAATTGACAATATAGTTTGTTTGTTTACATTTTTGTTTACTTATTTTATTATTTACTTTTATGTTCTTAAAAGAAGTGCGGCGAATGGACAGTGAAACTATTTCTTGCTGTTTGATACAAGTGAGTGATTAAAGGTGTTCTAAACACGATGAATGTGATTAACAAACCATGAATGTTCTTCGTTCCAAGAGGTTGTCACCTATCTTTAACAGGTCGAAATTTCATTGAAAAGTGTTAAAGTAAAGTTTAAAGACGTCGTGAAAGAGAGCTGCGTGTTCAGGTACAACCTCGGCCAACCTTAGGACATAAAGTATGAAGGTTCCACTGCTTTTAACATCCTTTCAGATGACACTTTCTCGAATTTGGGCCCTTTAAATGAAACACAAAGTCAAAGTTGATTAAATTAATTTAATGGTGGTTTCTGTTTATCCGTGAATTCGCGGGTAGAACCTCTTGTGTAAATATACAACGTGATGTGGAAAGCGAAAAGAGATCTCTTGCCTCTTATCGGCGATGCAAACTATTCAGTCCGGCCGATATAAGACATTAGGCTCGAAAATATCGGAATTTGGGTTTTTATCGATTGATATACCTCACTTAACCCCGAAATATTAAATTCCTTCCCCCCAATGTTATTCTTATGGGGAATAACCTCGAAAGTGGCCGACTTTGGTATTCGGATCTAAACCATTTAGAAACGTGCTAGGGACTTAAAATTTACAATAGTGAATAACTACACCTTAAATTAGCCATACAATTTTCGAAAACCCATTTTAAAGTTTTAACCCCCCAAAATCCAACATGCTGGCGGACATCTGAAAACGACAAAACACTTTTTTAAACTTCTATAGTTCAAAAGTTCCTATATAGCAAAGATTTGCAATAATATTCATGGTCATGAATTAAACATTCTACATAACCCTTCTGGGCATTTTCAGCTGATCCCACCCCCCAAAAAACGCACTACACTTCTAAAGTTTTGTAGAATTCCTGGAATTTGAAGGTTTTTAATTTCATGCAACATTACTTTTTAGACTTATGATTTTCCAATTACCAATTTTCCCCATTTTTCGAAGTAAATCCCAAAAAAGACATATTAAAACCTTTACACCCATCAGAAAAAATTAAAATGGTGGGATTTCTAAAGAATCTAAATGTTGTTTTTCCTGAGCACTACATGTTCAAAGGTCAACTGTACTCATTCACAGACGTGATGACAGATACTTGACATCTGGCAGGATGGCTATACTGAGGTACTAAAACCCCATAATTAAAGGAATTTAGCATTTTAAAATATGTATCCCCCTAAACTAATAATTAGACCCCAACAGCTCAACCACTGTCTTTCATCGTTGTAATTACTTGAACAAAAAATTCAAGTAAAAAAATTTTCTACAAAATCTATATAGAGCGTATTCAAAAAATTACACCTCTTCCTGGCATTGTTAAAACTAAACTCGAATCTACTAATGACGACTAACAGCTAGGGGGCCTAGGGGCGGAGCCCCCAGCGAGCCAAAGGCGAGTATATGTAGGTACATGAAATTGAACGGATGGTGTTTTTGGCTTCTAGGGACATCAAAATGAAAAAGTAAATTGGTCCCGGCCCCCGGGTCCAAGTCTTACTATTTGACCTACAGTAAAAGCTTATTCAATTCGCTAAAAACAATATAGCCTACCTATATTGAAAAAAATAACATAAATAACTACACATATGATAAATAGTCAATTACATTGACAGTTCAATGGGAAAAGAAAAGATCTATGAACAAGAAACAATAACTAGACTATATGGGGTTACTTCTCAAAAGCTCATAAGGTGTTGTGCTACAAAAAGCAAATCGTGTGATATGTAATTTTCCCTTTAGAGAACAATGCAAATCACCGTTCGTTTGTTGATTTGTTGATCATGACAATGACCGTCATTTATGTTTAAATATTTTTCAGCATTTTGATGCTATTATGAATCGACAGAAAATTTTCCAATTTTTAATAGAGAGACATATCCGTATATCACTGGAATCTGTCGATGCATACTACCATCACCAACAAAAGGGAGGGACATTACTCATCTATCCCTTATCACTCATACTGAAATTATATTTATCCTCATAATGGGTTCTCAAAGTACTTAGGTGTCTTAGTGAAGTGGTCAACTGTGCTCAAGGTAGTTTATAAGAAGTGATGAACTCTTTATTTGATATCTTCTAAATCTTCTGTGGAAAGGAGAAATGGTCATTATCAGTTCAGAAAAAAACTTCAATGCGAAATCACTACTCCCATTAATTTACATCGCTCTCCAATCTTGTTACAAATGACCATGCAAATTAAAAGATCATATGGTCTGCACTCAATCTGTTACGACCTAGGGCAAGGTGCGAGGTGTAGCCGCAGCAGCAAGTGTGCCGAATCGATACTCCACTAGCGCTGCAGCGGCGCGGACCAGAGTCACTCAGACAGATTCCGACCGCCCGATGGAGCGGATGTTGAAGCGAGTGTACCGAGACCGCGACCGCCGTGGCAGGGGGAGGGGGAGGGGTAGAACAGCTGATCGTGCTATCACCGAGGATGTGCTGTTCCGGAAGCTGCTGAGGGTGATACCGACCATCCCCAGCCCCGCGTGTGCGGAGTGGATGACCGTCATGGAGTTCACAAAGAGGAGATTGTGTGGTCGGAGATGTGATAACGAGCTTTACCGCAGCAACAGCTTCAAGTTTGAGAGATTTGAAAGCGACGTCGCCGGCGTGGACAACAAACAGGTGGGTGTCGACTGTCAATTAAGTTATGAATTGTTGGAAAAAATTGGAAATAAGTTTATTAATAATCGAAAGGGTTATTAGGCGATGATTTTTTGGCAGAAATAAATTATAGAGTTTCGGGGATAAGGTTTTGGCTGATATAAATTATAGGTTTTTGTAGGTAATTAGCCTGACATAAAATATTATCCATCAGGTTATAGGGCGATGTCTTTCTAGCATAAATAAACGATCAGTAATAAAGTTTGGCAGGTATAAAGTAAAGTATCATATCGGGGGATTTAGACAATGAAGATCGGCAGAATTAAAATACTGTATCGGATTATCAAGCGACATAGTTTTGATAGGAATAAAAGTAAATATTTCCAACCCCCAACTCACCCACACGCACTTCCTAAAGTGTGTAATTGTGGAATAAACCACCGGTTTACTGGGCGATGATGTTTCGGTAAAAAAACTATCAGGTTGTTGGGTTATGTTTAACGCTATACTGTAATCACAACATCAGGATATGAAGATAATTGTATACTTATATTATTGAGTGATGAAATTTGAAGCTGAAGTAGCCTGTGTATTCTTTATTAGGCCCCCCATACACGTAACGATCGGCCGGCCGGCGAGGGCCGGAAGGCCAAACTGAACAGTTTGGCCTGTGAAAGGAGGGTCCCCATACACGCAACGATTTGCCTGCCGGCCGGACTGAAATTTATCCGCCTAGTGGCAAGTATGCAGTCAGTTTTCGTACGGCAAAAACATTTTTGTTAACTTGCTATAAACTGGATCTTTTAAGTCCCTAGTTGTGGTACCCTATGCCTTTGTTTTGACCCTCCGCCGACATTCATGCTTTCTGTATTCTTCTTTAAAGGCTAGCACATGCTGATTAGTCCACGTAGTCATATTAGTACAAAGACTGAACAGAAAATAAAGTTAGGTTATGTCAATGACCTTAAAAATGAAAGTACATCAAAGAAATAATGCTACTACTGTACTGTCGGCCTTCCGGCGGCCTGCCGGCGACCCCATACACGTAACGATCGGCCTGAAGGCGGGGGTTGGCCGGACGACGACTGATGGGAATCCCATCAGTCGTCGTCCGGCCAATTTGGTCGTCCGGCGGCTGGACGACGACCCCATAAACGTAACGATCGGCCGGCCGGCGTGGACTGTTCAGGCCGGGCCGGCCGGCCGATCGTTACGTGTATGGGGGGCCTTTATATTTCCCATGGTTTGCGTGGAATCATGAGGAAGCACTGATTTTGTGGCATATGGCATATGCATGTTATTAGAATGCTGAATCATAATATAGAATGTATGGTTACTGGACGCGGTTGCATTTCGTGTATGTTCGTCTAAAAACAACTCAAAATCTAAAAAAAATACTTAACAATACATAACAAGTTAAAATATAAATCTAATGTTACATTGCAGATGAACTGATTGGCATATTGACTGTTTTCTTGTTACCTAAATTATTTATTGACCTTTGGTTTTTTAATGGTCAGCTCATGTAGAAGAACTGTAGAGGGTATAGATTACTTAAAAAGTAACAAAAAACACCCTTAAAAAATATGGATAAAAACTCACTTAAATTCGGTGCTTGATTAACAGAGCTAAACATATGGTTGCAACAATGTGAACAGCTGATTTATTACGACATTTAGTACAACCAAGATCTTAGAACAGCTTACCTTTAAAAATATCTGTCATACATAGGACTTTCAGGATAATGCCCACTCATATTAGAACAGAAGAGGCATGGATCACAGACTTAAACAAATCATTCACTGTCATTCACTGGCCCAACAGCATTTTTGTATTAATATTTAAACGGAACTGTCAAAAAAATTCTAAACCAGCCCAGCTGTTAAGGCTAAGTAATAATGTACTGTATAGACATTCGCGCCAGTAACGTCATTTATTTGTTTATGATCAATACAGTTTCTCTACTAAAAATCGTAATAATACCTATGATTGTCAAACGCATTCCAAAATGTCAACGTGAATCAATATGTTTTCAATTATCAAATTTTTTTTAATTATCAAAACTATAACGTAATTTCTGTGATTGTGTACTTTATTTACTTTTGGATACATTGTTGGTACTTCTCAATCATCAATCACCCCAGGAAAGACGTTTAAACAATGCTAAAACACGTTAAACTGCAGTTTCGAGAAAATCGTGTGCTTTAACAACAAACTACCGAAGTAGACCTACCCAGGAACCCAGCCAGTCCATCATTTCACCTTCAACTCTTGTCAACCCGTGCAGGGAAGTAGAAATTCGACTCACTATGACACGCTCCGCTTGTTATCTGTTAAAAAACAGTATTTAACAGGAGGAACCCCGGTGAAATACGCTACTGGACTGCTTTCTACTGTTAAGTTTGTAACTTTGTTCGATTTTGATTTTATTGTCAATCGAGGTTTGAGGTTAATAATAATAACTGTGATCAACATTAATCCTCCGTTACACTAGGCCTAATTAGAAATGTCCGGATTGGTTACAGTAAGGTGCATTTTAGTAAGGTGCGGAAGTATTCAGTAAGGTGCATTTTCGTAAGGTAACAAGTAGCCTAAGCTTTACGATAAAATTATACAAGTGAAACGTTCGTGTATATTTTGGATAAACAGGGAAACGCAGGTATCATCGATTTTCTATAAAATATGGCCAAAGAAGGCTATCGGCACCACACACCCTTATCAATAACTCTCATCACTTTGTACACTGGGTTTTGTTTAAGATTCTTTAACTGAGAATAAAACTTGATAAAACACTGTTGAAATTTGTCGTGACTCTTTGCAAATTGAGGGGTCCTTAATGTACTCCCCGGTGCATAATCAATGTAATAAATTTACAACCATACACTCCATTCTATATTATCCTCAAATGTGGTTTCTCTAAAGTGGTATGGGTAAACAATTCTGGACAGAATCGTAATTTGGTAACTACCTAATAGCATAGACAATTTGTCTATGCTAATAGGTACGGTACTGTATTAGGCCCTATTTAAGGAAATTTATCTGTATAGAGTTAGTTGTAAGTACTGTAGCTTCCATTATCGCCCTAACATTTTTGCTTTTATGGTCGTCAGATGTTTAAACGTGTAGAAATCGTTATGCATAATGTGTCTGCAAAAAATTCTCAAATTTATCTTAATACTTTAGCCTATACGTCCTTGCAATAGTTCGTGAGCGCGGCCGATCGGCCAATGGAGATTTTTCAGGAAACCTCGCTTTCAAAAAGCCAAGCCAAAGTACAAATAAGCCTTTCTATTCAAATAAGTTAAAAACAACAATCACTTCGGATTTGTTTCATATCATACTCCTGTGATGGAAATCAAGGTACCGTAGGTGCTAAACGATGCATCTCCTCTTATCAAAAAAACCCTTCTAATTGCACCCGTATTATATGACCACGAATCTTAGCGTAAATTTTATATTTTTTGATGACCAGTTAGAAAAGCGTTTGATTCAACTGCAAGCCAACTTATTTCAAGGCTTAGTGTGACTGGAGTATCATATTATAGATTTGCAACTTTCACAGGATATAATGCGTGAAATAGTTTGAATGTAATTAAATCATGTACCGTAATAGAATAACATTACCATCATAAATTTAGAATGTACCGGATAGGAACCGATTATACTTATAACTATAATAACACTGTATTTACGTCGTCTATTTTAAATTCTAGGTTCAATGCACGAATAATGCAACACAAAAACAAAATATCACAACCAAACCAAACAGAAAAACATATTTTTATCTCACTGTTTTTACAAGTCAACAAAAAAAAAAAAAAAACCAGTGATGATCCCAGAAATCAAGAACGATGCAATTAATGCTACGTCGATAACAGTTTGATAACGCTTCAGTCAGCTAATTATTGTTGAGCTAAATATAACTGTTAGTTGAAGAGTTAACTTTACGTAACGACATATAGCCCGTTGAGAAACCGTAGCCTCATTTTGTGCAAATGTTAGCAGGCTTTGATGACCTTTCTCATTAGAAACTTGACAAAAACATGCTTCCCTGAAACAACTTTAGCCTATTTTCACTTAGCCTACATGTTGCCTTTGACTTGTTAATTCTTACACAGATATTTACGTGGTCACATAATTAAGTCGGCATTAATTCATAGGAACAGTTTCTAAGAAATTATATTTTATTTTGGAGGGCATTGAGTAACAAATTATGGACTTCGATGTAGGGTTACGAATTTAATGTGTTTTAACGGAATAGTAAAAACGCATGGAAGAAACCAACCAACTGGTTTTCGATTATTTCAGTAAGAAGAAGACCAGTTATATGCAATCTTTTAGAAACGCTATATTGATTTACAAAATGTCATAAATAAGATAAAATAAATATCATCATCACAGCAAACCACCAAGCTAGGTGACCTTATAGTCACTTTATTGAGTTTGAATGTGAACATTTTCGTTATCAAATTAAATAAGGCATTTTAAGATCTACGCCTATTATAAAATTACCAATAATTACTGTTTCGATTTTCTGCTCCGGGGTTGCTAAAATGGTTCCTTTGTTTACATTTCCAAAGTCCAAAACATCTTGTTGATGCTAATCAAAATGCAATATTATAGTTTGCCTATTCAGACTTTAATGATATAATATTTTTGTATAAGCAAAATGTAAAAAGAAAATTCGGTTTTTAAAGATAGAGGTAACAACAACGTCAGTGTTGCGTTGCACGAATATAAGATGATAACAATTTTAGTTCCTGCATTCGCAAAATCCAAACCTGAATCTGATAAAAGCTTAACACGCATCAATGGAATGGAAAGGCAGAATGCGAACAACGGAAAATAAAAATGCAAACAGATGAATGAGCTCATTTAGTCAGCAAATGCCGAGCTATTGTAGGAGCATTGTGGAGTCTGGAGGCGAAGCATTGCTGATTATGCTATCAAAAATGCAGCCGCAGGCTTCTTCAGACTGAGTGCATTCAGCATTCAGAGGAGAATACGCTCGTCAGCATATT